CTACAAAAAAAGATAATTTTTCCAACTTTTTTCAGAAAAACAAACTCTCTCTCTACATATACAAATGTTTGCAAAGGAAGTCGGTACAGAAAGTGCCATTGTTGACCTTGTTTAAAAGTGGCAACTATCTTTCTATCATACTGATCTACTACTTTAATTCTGTGTTAGATTCTGACCCAGAACAAGTGTGCACATCAGGAATTCTAACTTCACTTGTATGATGAAGAGAACTGGAAAAAAAGGCGCTGTGGAAAATGCTCTCAGACAAGCACCTTAGTGGAGGTGCATCTTTATTGGGTGAGATAAAGTAACAAGTATAATAAAATTAACCAGCCTGAAGTGACAGTGTGATTCCAATGGACGGCCCCGTCCGCTCTGAGGGGAGCTGAGATCAAAGAATGCTCCTGTCGGCTTCAAATCACGTGGTGTCAGCGTACCAGCGTCCTGGGTGGTGTCACCATGGCAAACGAAGGCAGTGTCCGGCGTTGGCTTCAGCTGGGAGCATATGTGGGGTTACCAAGACGACATGTTTCGCGCAGTTGCGCTTTGTCAAGTCTTGACAAAGCGCAACTGCGTGAAACATGTCGTCTTGGTAACCCCACATATGCTCCCAGCTGAAGCCAACGCCGGACACTGCCTTCGTTTGCCATGGTGACACCACCCAGGACGCTGGTACGCTGACACCACGTGATTTGAAGCCGACAGGAGCATTCTTTGATCTCAGCTCCCCTCAGAGCGGACGGGCCCGTCCATTGGAATCACACTGTCCACTTCAGGCTGGTTAATTTTATTATACTTGTTACTTTATCTCACCCAATAAAGATGCACCTCCACTAAGGTGCTTGTCTGAGAGCATTTTCCACAGCGCCTTTTTTTCCAGTTCTCTTCATCATGCATATGATTAACAAGGCAGCAGTGGTGAGCTCATGATTAACTGTTCACATGTTTCCACCTGGAGTGGCCTCTCTGCGCTCATTTGTATGAGTTTTAACTTCACTTGTAGCATGCTTGCTTGAGGTCAAAGACTCAAAAGTATTACAATCACATGATTAGCATGATAGCCAAGAATCTAGAATAAGGACATGCAGACATAGAACAAGAACTCTATCTGACTTATTAAAGCGGAGCTCCACCCAAAAGGGTAAGTTCCGCTTTAACCCCTTCACGCCTAAGGGTAAAACAAATCTAAGTGCCTAAGCACAATTCTGCAACGTTGACATGTGTTAGTAAAGCCATACATATCATCACAACTACTTTGTACATCCAGGTGGATTATACCTTGTTTTTTTCAGGACAAATTGGGCTTTCATTTGGTGGTAAATGGTAATGGATAGCTCCTAATGTTTTTTATTATCAAAGGAAAACTGGCCCAAAATAGTGAAAAAAAAAATCTTTTTTTTTAATTTAGCTGTGTGTTTCTTGTTACGACCATAACCTACCTCCATAGAACAACCCAAAATAAATTCTCCAGCTATTGACGATAGCAGCGAATCCATATATGTGTATGTTATTTGTTGTTTGTACCTGTAGTACAGCCCATAAACAATAGTGTTTTTGTCTTTTTTTTTTACCTAAAACACACTGACATTAATGCTAACTGACACTGATATCATTTTTTTTAAATCCTGACCTTTGACCATGGCCTTTGACCTTGACTTTTGACCCTGACCCAAACACTAACCCTGGCACTGAACTAGATCAAACCTTGATCTAGGTATTTTTCTTTATTTTTTATTTTATTTTTTTTAATATATATTTATCGTCTTTTTTTTTTTTACAAACATTTTTTTTAACTATGTCAGGAGTTAGAGAGATACAATGTATCTCTCTTCTCCATTCATAGAGAGATAAAAAACAAGGGGGCCAGGTTGCACAGTGACTGATCACTGCGATAGCCAATCAGAGGCTATCACAGCGATCACATGACCCGGAATCGGGAGTCCCGGGTCTCGATCGTTAGAACGGGACCTGGGGCTCTCAGTGACACCGCTACCTCTGTGCTGGGAGTGCGCCAAGCGGCGTGCTCCCAGCACAAAGACAGGTATGCAAATATGTGGCCCCCCGGAAAAAAGCCCAGTTCTCTGAGGCTGCATATTTGTGTGCCGTCGGCGTCAAGGGGTTAAGGACTGCTCCCCATTAAGGATTGGCACCTTTGGGGGGCGGGGGGGAGCGGGTACCTGTCAAATTCGGGTACCCGCTCCCCTAGGCGATTGGAAGCGGAAGGTGTTCTCTCTCCCTGTAGTCTTTGGGGACATGTGACAGGTCCCAGAAGACTGCAGGACCATTCATGAAGTGCAGCGCTACTCGCACATGCGCAGTGTGTACCCAGCTGTGAAGCCGCATGCTGTCACAGCCGGGTGCCCACACTGAAGATGCCTGCCTCCTGGAATCCAGAATAGCCGATGAAATGGGCTGCAGGGGACACATCGCGGGACCGAGGGACAGGTAAGTGGCTGTTTTTTAAAAGTCAGCAGCTACAGTTTTTGTAGCTGCTGACTTTTATTTTTTAACAGGAGTGGAACTCCGCTTTAAGTTTACTAAAACAACCCATAATCAAAGAAATGCAGACATCAAATCTTATTTGTTGTATTTTTGCAGTACAGATAGCTATGTTTATTTTTTATATTAGCTCTTTATATATGCAGTGTTTTTTTTTTTTCAATTCAAAATCAATAAATATTGCACAGAATGGCCCCTTTCAGACAGGCTGTACAATCAGCTCCTCCTGTATATTTTTCAGGTAGACCTGATCAGAGGTTTGACATAAGGCTACATTCACACTGGTGATTTAGGCCAGAGTGAAGTGTAGCAGCGGGAAACTTCTGATTGGCTAGGTGCTGTCGCCAGCCCCATTCACTAAAAATGACAGTTGACCAGTGGCCACGGGTATTCACATCTGTTCGCACAGCCAGCGATGATCACTGCTGGATGCATACAAATTGTGTCCAGCAATGATCAATGCAGGTAGGCGCTAGCTGTGCAGAGAGCTGCAAATAGCTGCAGCTACCAGCTATCTGTCAATATAGTGGCTGTACCTAGCCAATCAGAGCCACAGGAGGAATCAGAAGTTTTCTGCCGCTACAACTCCCACCGGCCTAGATCACTGTTGTGAATATAGCCTCAGTCTGTAGGCAGGCAATTGTAAACAGACAGATGTCCATTTACATCCAACTACCTCCCAATCTGGGAAAAAAATTGAAAAGGTCTACATTCTTCTACTAAATGTGACAGTTCGAAGGCAGTCTGATATAAACAGACCAAGTTATTTTAATTCCAGCCATCCATGGATCAAACATAGGTCTTAAATTACAGAAAAAACTGAATAGACATGGATGTCACAAAAGTGACATCTGTCCTGGTGTGCTCCAGATATATGTTCACAAATCCCATTCTGATCAAAATGGTCGGTGCCCACGTGAGGCCATAAGCAATTACAAACTAGGAACTAATAAAATCAACTTGTTTCAGTCAATTAATTTTTCTATGCGATCATGTGACTGTAAAGCCTTGGCACTCCAGCGTATTCCTCTCTTTCTTTTGCATCTGGTGGGGCAGGAACTCTTCTCTTGGCCAACAGCCCCGCGACAACCCTGGAAGCTATGGACACCAGTGGGATGACATCACAGCTACAGGGGATTCATCATTTTGGTGCAGGTTTTGGACCCTCCACAGTACAGAGATGTGCCAAAATTTTCAGCCACGTGACAGTATAGGAAACAGAAAAAAAAGTATTAGGGAAGCATTTTTTTTTAAATGTACACAGGGAGGATCACAGCAGGTGGAAGCAGCATTTAACTGGTAAGTTAGGCATCATGCACATAGGTGTAGTACAGCATGCATATCACAAGACTGACTGTACAATGATACAATTTTTTTGGCAGTTAAAACAGTACAAACAGATATTTTATCTGTGTATTTTGCTGTTTATCTGGAGTTCCATCTTGGCTTCCAGTGACAGTTGAATAGGTGGACAGGTGGATAGGTGGATATAAGCACATGGATATATTTTGGAAAACTTGGACAATAATGTGTTGTAGATATGGCAATCCAGAAAATGTATTTAATTAGACTTGATTTGCATTAAAGTGATACTAAAGGTTCACTGTTTAAAAAAATAAAAAACATGTCATACTTACCTGGTCTGTGCAATGGCTTTGCACAGAGCAGCCCCAATCCTCCTCTTCTTGGGTCCCTCGCCAGAGCTTCTGACTCCTCTAACCTGCTGAGTGTTCCCAGAGCAAACTGCTTGCTCTGGGGGTTCTCATGCATGCTTGCTCCAGAGCTTCATCTAGGTGACTCCCGAGCCGCCCCCAGCTCCCTCCTCACTGACTGTGATTGATAGCAGCAAGAGGCAATGACTTCTGCTGTTTCTCAGCCAATGAGGAAAGAGAGATCTGGGAGAGTGGCTAATCTCATGCTCAGCACTGTCTCAAGATTGGGCTCAGGTGAGTATAAGGGGGGCTGAGAAGGGAGCTGCACACTGAAGGTTTTTTACCATGATGCATAGAACGCATCAAGGTAAAAAACCTTTAGCTTTTAGAACAATTTTAAAGATGAAGGGGTCTAAAATAGTTCCATCATCTCTAATTTAGAACTTGATAATATAATATTATTTTATTAGGGAAGAATGCACTGTGAAAATATATGAGAAATATGAGCAAATCATGCAGCTTTCTATGCGGTCACTCAGAAGGGGGGGGACCTGGAGTGCCAGCGGGGGACCCTAGAAGAGGAGAATCGGGGCTGCTCTGTGGAAAACCATTGTACAGAGTATGTAAGCATGACATGTATGTTATTTTAAAAAATTACCTTTACAATCACTTCAAAGGAGTTCTATGGTCACAGTATGCAGTTTCATGTTATAACATTGGTAATATCAATGCACAGGTAAATACTGGCCCAATGAGTGAAATCAGCATATGCATTTCTAGAGAAATATAGTATATACACATATGGTAAAATGTCCATAACTACATTTTTTGTGTGTTTGTTCTCTAAAGATGGATACTCAGCGTGTTTTTGTGGCTCCCCCCTCACCAGTGTTATCTCCCAGGCCTCTTGCTCCGACCTCTCCTCGACTCAGTCCAGCAGGATCTGGTAGGTCCCAGCCTGAAGGATCTAGCGGATCACAGACACCAACTTCTGCCCCACAACACTCTGTCCGTCCCTTAGCACCCGTTGGTGCTTCTGCGCCTGATCGATCTCAACCCGAAGGATCTTTGAGACTCCACCCTGTGGGTTCTCTGTTCAGTTCTAAAGATGAGTCTGGCAGATCTCAGCCAGAGGGGTCATGTCCAGGTCTTCTGTCTCCAACAAGCCACTACAGACCCCTATCTCCTGCACCATCCTCACCCCGCCACTCTCCAGCCCCGAGCCCCAGAGGATCACCACAGCCAAGTAGATCCCACCTTCCCAAGCGTCCAGACAGACTTCAGGAACCAATTATACGACCTAATAGTATTCATCCACCACAAGATGAAACCGACAAATCACCTTTCAATGGGACCATTGGGTGGAATGAACAGAACAAAGCAGGAGATGATTTCAGGTAACAATTTGTTCATCCAAATCTATTAACACAGAACTTACAGTACAGCTCCCAATACTGCCATAACACAGAATGGTATAAAAACACTTTACATGCTTTAATGCTTTAATGTCAAACCAATCATAACCTAAACATCACCTTTCTTGAGTTATAATCAACTCTATTTATAGAACAGCAGTAGTCCTACTACAAAATGTTTCAAAATGCCAGGACAATGTAGCTTGTACAAAATGTGTGAAAAATATGCTAAGAGATATTCAGTTTGAGCTAATAAAATATAAAAAGACATTTACTGCAAGACATTAGTGTAGATAAGTGCGGTTGTAGTTTAGACTAATTACACCAAGACTAGATAATAGCTAAAATACTATAAAGCTTATTGTTGGACAACAAATACTGTGCTTTATTGAGCAAACAAAGTAATTTCACATGCAAAGTGTTTCCTAATTACTGCTGAACTCTTGACAGATACAACAAATCAACAAATGAACCTACTACTCTTCAATTCCAGAATTTACCAGTAAAGTAACAAAGTTCCAAATGGGCTAGAACACAGACACTGGTTTCTCAAACTTCAGTGGACTATATACACTTGATTCTCATCCAAAAAAATCTAAAAAAGCCTTTCATTGAAAAAAAAAAAAAAAAAATTATATATATATATATATATATATATATATATATTATTTGAGAACTACATCTGTCTTTATTTCCTATAAACAAATTGTAAGATGCAGTGGACAAAAAATCCCTCTTAACACTTTGTCCATCCCACTTTCCCTGTACGCCACAGGTCTACTTTGATCATATACTCACCGGCCACTTTATTAGGTACATCTTGCTGGAATCAGGTTGGACACCCTTTTGCCTTCAGAACTGCCTTAATTCTTCATGGTATAGATTCAACAAGGTGTTGGAAACATTCCTGAGAGATTTTGGTCCATATTGACATGAGTTTCTGTTGCCTTTCTGTCATCTCGAACCAGTCTGCCCATTCTCTTCTGACCTCTGACATCAACAAGGCATTTTCATCCACACCAATGCTGGCCACTGGATATTTTCTCTTTTTTGAACCATTCTCTGTAAGCCCTAGAGATGGTTGTGTGTGAAAATCCCAGTAGATCATCAGTTTTTGAAATACTCAGACCAGCCCGTCTGGAACCAACAACCATGTCACATTGAAAGTCACCTAAATCCCCTTTCTTCCCCATTCTGATGCTCGATTTGAATTTCAGCAAGTCTTCTTCACCACGTCTACATGCCTAAATGCATTGACATGTGAGATGCTGCCATGTGATTGGCTGATTAGCAATTTGTGTTACCAAGCAATTGAACAGGTGTACCTAATAAAGTGGCTGGTGAGTGTATATATATGTATCCTAAGTTTAAAAAAAAAATGGCTCCTTATTGAAAGGGCTGGTTTTATGGTAACACACAATATTGTTTGATGCTGAATGTGATGAAAAATACAGGTAACTGCAAACCATTTTTAAAGATACTGCTAAAAAATACATCCTATAATATTGAATAATACCATTAATCCAGTGTTCAGAGCATCTAATACAGAAGGCTTAAAAGGAGCAATGACAGTTCCTTAGTTATGTAGCAATTGCTGCAGTGTACATTTGCAATGAAATAATACAATCTTTCATGTGATATTCAGATAAAGAGTATTATCAAATGGAGTATTGCATGCTTCCGGATATTGAAACCCTTTGTAAAGATGAGTGGCTGATAATATCACTGGTCTGACAACTGTAGTCAAAAGCTGAACCCGAAGCTGAATATGGAGATGAAATATATATAAAGGAGCAGTTTTATTTGCTAAAGGATTTGCATTTCTGTCCATCCAATCCTGGTATTTACAAAGATCTGCCACAAAGTACAGCCTTGTCTAACAGGGCAAGTAAATTGTTTTTCTCTGCAGTTTCAGTTAAGTAAAGCTGGCCATAAACATAAGATCGTTCATTCATTTTTACACAGCACTATCTAGCAGGGCAGCAGAATAATTCTATGCATTTGCAGTTAAGCAAAGCTTGCCATACATGTAGGATTTTTCATCCCATTACCCGATTTATGCTAAACAGTGTGCATGGAGGAATATCCCTGTGCTAGTTTTTTTTAATCTGACAGCCACTGACAAACGAAACTGTCAGAATGCCCAAACAGTGACTGCAGCTGATTGGCCGCAGTCATTGTTCGGCCAACTTCTTTCCACCTGGGTCCTTCAATTCCCTAGTTGAATTTGTTAAGCTAGAAGGTGTCAGTGTGGTAACCCATGGTTCATATTTCAGCTGCTTCACTGAAGGTGGCCACAATTCAAGCCATGTATGTCCAGCTTAACACTCACAGGTCTTGTCCTCCCCAACATGTAACCAGACAGTAAAAGGAGAAGCAGCATACTGATGAGATTATCTCTCTGTCACTTTGCTTTCTCTTCCTATTAGTGTGTCCCTTGTTAGCACATGAGCACCAAAGGCCAGCCTTATGCTTCCCTGTCCTACTTCTCTCTTTTCCAGTCTGAGCTCTGCTGTACAAGGGATTACAAAAAGCTGATACTAAGTCAAATAAATAGGAGTACAGTCCTACAGCTAAAGAGAAATAATTATTTGATCCCCTGCAGATTTTGTAAGTTTGCCCCTTACACAGAAATGAAGGGTCTATAATTTTTATCATATGTGTATTTTAAATGACAGAGACAGAATATCAACCAAAAAAGAAAAAACACACGATACAAAAGTTATAAATTGAGTTGCAGTTCAGCGAGTAAAATAAGTATTTGATCCCCAAGCAAAACATGACTTTGTACTTGGTGGAGAAATCCTTGTTGGCAAGCACAGAGGTAAGATCTTTCTTGTAGTTGGTTACCAGGTTTGCAGACATCTCAGGAGGGATTTTGGTCCACTCTTCTTTACAGATCTTCTCTAAATCCTTAAGGTTTCTTGGCTGTCACTTGGCAACTTGAAGTTTCAGCTCCCTCCATAAATTTTCTGTAGGATTAAGGTCTGGAGACTGGCTAGGCCACTCCATGTACTTAATGTGCTTCTTCTTGAGCCACTCCTTTGTTGCCTTGGTGATATGTTTTTGGTCATTGTCATGCTTGAAGACCCATCCATGACCCATCTTAGGTGTTCTGGCTGAGGGAAGAAGGTTCTTATTCAAGATTTTACAATACATGGCCCCATCCTTTGGCCCCTGAATGTGGAAAAGTTGGCCTGAACCTTTAGCAGAGGAGCTGCCCAAAAGTATAATGTTTTCACCTCCGTGCTTGACTGTAGGTGTACTTAGAGTCTTATTCAGCATTTTCTTCCTCAAAAACGGCGAGTCTAGTTAATGCCAAAGAGCTCAATTTTGACCTCATCTGACCACAGCACTTTCTCTCAGTCCTTCTCTGAATCATTTAGATATTCATTGGAAAACTTCAGATGGGCATGTACATGTGCCTTCTTGAGGGGGACCTTGCAGGCACTGCAGTATTTAAATCCATGGCTGCGTATTGTGTTACCAGTGGTTTGTTTGGTGACTGTGGTCTCAACTGCCTCAACATCATTTACAAGCTCCTCCCATGCTGTAGTTCTGGACTGATCCCTCACTTTTGTCATGATCATCCTTACCCCAAGAGGCAAAATCTTGCATGGAGCTCCAGACCGAGGGCGATTGATGGTTATTTTGTATTTCTTCCATTTGCAAATAATTGCTCCAGCAGTTGTCTCCTTCTCACCAAGCTTATTGCTGATGGTCTTGTAGCCCTGTCCAGCCTTGTGTAGGTCTATATTCTTGTCCCTGATGTCCTTTGACAGCTCTTTAGCTCTTTCCCATGGTGGTGAGGTTTGAATGGAAGAAAGAGATTCTGTGGACAAGTGTCTTTTAAACACATAATGAGTTGTTAGGACAGGACTAATCTATGTACCACATGAGCACATAGCCAGTCTGTGGGAGCCAGAATTATTGTTGGTTGGTAGGGGATCAAATACTTTTTTTACTCACTGAACTGCAACTCAATTCATAAGATATGTATGCTGTGTTTTTTCTGCAAATTTTGGCTGATATTCTTTCTCTATCACTTAAAATACACCTATGATTAAAATTACAGACCCTTCATTTCTTTGTAAGTGGGCAAATTTACAAAATCTGCAGGGGACCAAATAATTATTTTCCCCACTGTATATAGCTCAGTTGGACAAATCGCCTGCTTGGCTATTGGATGCAGCCAATGCCCATCGATTTGTTTAGTCGAAGGCAGATGGGGGCCATCAGGGTCACCCAAGAAGCAAATGTTGATTGGTTCATCACCAAATGGTTGAAATATGCACAGTGTTCAGCTGTATAGCAGTGTGCAGAGAGCTTGCAGATAATGCCATCTGTGCCCGATCATGGACAGAATATCAGTATGCAAACAAACCTGCCACAACTGCCCCTCATGACTTGCATTTTTTTATTTTGTGAAAGGACTGCTACTCTTTCTTTTGACATGGTTAGTTTCTTAGTTACCTGTGGTGATTTTCTTCCTTGAATCTTGGTGTGATTTGTGTATTTATTCCAGATCTGTGCAGTAATCCAGTGTGAAACTTTACCACTGTACAGGAGCTTCCTGTAATAAGACTGCTCATTGCCTCTCTCTCTCCTTGTGCAGGGTAACTGGTCTTGTGTCTGCCCCCTCCTGTAGTTTTATGCAGGCAGCCTGTGGTGGGTGGAGCCTGTTGGGCCCTCCCACAGCTCTGCTCGCTTCCCAAGGATATGTACAGCACAGTGATGATGTCACTGCTATGTGTAACAAGTGTGATCTTCGACTTTAAAGTGGTAGTAAACTTTGCTTTTGAACTTATACCTACAGGTTAAACTATAATAAGGCTTACCTGTAGATAAACTGAATATCTCCTAAACTTGCGGTGTTTAGGAGATTTCACACTGGATGCAGACGGTAGTGTCACTGGCGCATGCACTCTGAAGGGACGACAGACCTGTGCTATCCCTTCAGAGCTCTGTGCCGTAAACCGAGACTCCCGTGTGCATGCGCAGAAGTGATGTCATTTCGGCTTAGCCATTCAAAGGACCACAGCCAGCAAACTTGGAAGAAAGACTGGGGAAAGATGGAAGCTAACCACTGGAGGGGATTTATGAGGCATACTAGCACATTATGCCATTGCCTTGAAGGGGATTTTTTTTGGAAAGGTCACAGTTTACTACCGCTTTAACAGTCAATTCTGTTGTGGTGAGGGAGTAGTAGACAGGTTCTGACTGCCTTTATTGTGTGCAGGGTAAATGGTAGGTTGTGAAGCACTTGGACATGCAATTGTAACTGTTGAGCAACTGAATTTTTCTTTCTGCTCAAGAGATACCTGAGTGAATAGCAGGACAGATAAGTGGTGGCCATACAATTATGATATATTGGTAGAGAAGGTCTTCAAAATCTGCTTGTTTGTCTACCTCTAGTGTCTATCTGGTCTTAAGCCCCATACACACGATGAGAATATCAGACGAATGATCGCCTTTTTTTTTTTTTTTTTGCATGTTAGTCTCACATTGAAATTGAGGAGGTCACTAAACTTAACACAATTCTTCAATGACAGAAAAATTTGGAAGTAATGTATTGTATTTGTATTGTAGTTTCGAGCAAAAACTGTACTAATTAATTGAAAATGGTATGATCTGCTATCATATGAGAAAAATATGTTTGCTTGTTCCTTTTAGACAAAAGCTGTGTACTAACGATCAGATTATGGTATGATCGCTTTGAAAACGGTATTTTTTATATGATTTTCTGATCCTACATACTAGGCTTTAGCTGAGCAATACTGTGCCCAGTCTGCTGATTATCTTATCTTCTGTCTCCTTTCCTAGGATATATGTTATTACTTGGAATGTTGGATGTGCTGTGCCACCTACAGACCTCACCTCCTTGCTCTGCCTTAATGCTGGAGATGGCAAGACCGATATGTTTGTTATAGGGTGAGATGTATATTTGTGTTCCTCTATTCGTGATTATGGCAGCGGATAAATAAAATATAATTGGTGATATAATTGGTGCCATATATAACTCTTCCTTTATTGTCTTTCCATAGGTTACAGGAGGTCAACTCCATGATCAATAAGCGTCTGAAAGATGCGCTCTTTTCGGATCAGTGGAGCGAGGTGTTTATGGATGTGCTGAGTCCATTTAGCTATGTGCTGGTGAGCGTTAGGCCAAGCTTGTGTGTACCACAATCTATCGTCAGCTTTCTGTTTACATGTCTCTGACATCTCACTGTGCATTCAGGTCATCCTCTGTGTATATGGATGTGCTTTACCACAAATTGATTTGTTGGCTTTTGTATAGATTTTCTCCTCTCCTGCTGAAGATTGTTCCACACTCTTAATGATTGCTCTAGATAAATACCTGTCCACTGCCATTCCTCATGCTTGGTACATACAGTACACTTTCATTATATTATATCACAGATGATTAATTGATCATTTGTATTTGAAATTATTGCCCAGATCTTAGTTAGTTTTATCTAACCTGTTAATATGTTGACTCTTTAAAGAACTGTGCACAAATTTGGAGGATGCTATTGCTGTGTATGCTGCTTTCCTGGCATTCATTCTCATCCATTGGCTTAGTTACTTTCTGAGACACAGAACTGAACTGAAACACCCAAATGCATATGAGGAGTTCTGATTCTCTTCTCTGCTTGCTTGCTTCAGATCAAAGGCTCCAAAAATTTAGAGACAGTCAGGCAACTAGCAATGGCAGCTACCATATTTCTCTCAGCACGTTTTTATTAAATATAGTCTTTGGGAAGCCAACTCTTGAGAGGCCTCCTCCACACATAAATAATATTTTGGTTATGTCATTTTGACACCAATGGGTCGCATAGTATACATTAAACGATGAACTAGGAACTACAGGTACTGGAATGGCTTTATGGTTTTTTTTAGACATCTTGCAGATGTGGGGGGGTTTAACCCCCTGGCCCATATCTAAAACAGAAATATCAGGTTTAGGTGGCATTGACATTTAATTAAACTTTGCATAGAAGAGTATTCAGTATATTGCATGCATGTTTTTATACAGGATAGGTAGGGTGAACAGAAGTTACAGAAGAATTTTGGATATCCAGTAATCAGACCTCTTTTTAATTCCACTGCATATGACTGGATGGTAACATGGGTTTACTGCCCTTCACTTCATGTGTAAATGAGTAAATTGCCCCCACCCACCACTCACTCCATTATGTCAAGGGTGAACTCCAAGAAAGCCACTAAATAGACAGTTCAAATATAATATCTAATCTGCTAGAATATTTGTAGTTGATCTTGTGATTCTGATATCCCATCCAAACAGCATAGCTATGTTGGTGAAGTTATTACCTCTATAACAATTAAAGCTGAACTCCAGAATTATTTTGAAACGTATCCTTTCAGTGGACCCCTATTCCCCACACATACACACACTGCAAGGAATATGCGTGTTAAGTCTAGTGGTAGAAGAATGACCTATAATACTTACCTAATCCCTCGCTCCAGCAGGCTTAGGGTACATTCACACGGGCATCCAGCAGCAATTACCGCAGGCCACGAATAGTTGCGGCAACCAGCCATTAAAGTGTAGGAGCTTGGTGGCCACAGCTAGCTGCTTACAGGTGTCAGCAGATGCCTGTCGCTGCCATTCACATCTCCCATGCAAATGTAGTCTTAGGGTGCTATCCTGTTCTCTCCGACACTTCAGGTTTTTAGTGGGCTCTTGCTGTCCGCAGCATGATGACATTAGATTGCAACCTCAGCTGGGGCGCCTAAGAGAAGAGGATTCAGGGAAAATGACTGCACAAGAATAAGGTAAATACTACAGGTTATTCCTCTACAATGGACTTAAGAAGTATTTAATTGGTACAGTGCAGGGGGACCAACTGCAAGAGTAAGTTTTTTTAAAAATCCTGAAGTTCAGCTTTAAGCAATATAGCTTAGTCAAAACCTGGCACAGCATGCAGTTAGACAATGAAGGAGCAGCAGCAGACTGTTGAGGCCTCTTTTTGCTCTCCCCTCCTGTACACTTTAACAGTGTTCAGCACTGTTTAAAGTGATAGAATCCTGAATAAATCAGAGGATTGCGACCCAGGAAGGAGCCTGACCATGGTTTAGAGCGGGAGCTCGATGTGAGGGCTCCCAAGCACCTCCAGTGTCCACCCGAGAAGGGGAGAGATGTGCGGGAAGCCCTGGAGAGACTAGCCGGGGAGAGGGGGGGCTTGTCTGGCGAGATGCGTGGACCGAGGACCTCCAGGAGTGGCGGCCATTGCGGCGGGTCTTCCTGTGCTCTCGGCCCGGCGCTGTGTGTTCCCTCGGAGCTCAGTGGACACTGGGCAATCAGGTGATCTGCTGCAAGGGAGCGCTGGGAGGCAGAGGAGCCGGCTGGCGTTTCTTGGAGCAAGGGAGATGCTGGCATTCTTCCTCCTGCACACAGGACCGTGGCAGCTGGGGCTGGGTGAATCCCCCCCTGCAATCCACTCATTGTGTGAGGGGAATGTCGAGTGCAATGTTCCCCATAAGAGAGTACCTGGAGCTGCCTCACCCCTCACTTGGAGTAAAGGAAGAGATGTCCTAAAGTGCGGGAAAGTCTCTCAAAGAAGTCAATCTCTAGAAACCAGAGATCTCACATGAGGGAGAAGTATTCCTGTTTCGTGTGCGGGACATTTTCTTTCATATAAGTCCTATTTTTATACTGTATATACCAGTGATAATACAAGAGGGAGCAGCCAAACCCTTGTTCAGAGTGCGGGAAATGTTTTTCACAGAAGTCCAGCCTGCATATATAAACAGAGACCTCACATGAGGAAGATGCTATATCCCTGTTCCAAGTGCGGGAAATGTTTTTTCAGACAAAACTAGACTTTACATATATCAGAGATCTAACACAGGTGAAAAGCCATATGTCTGTCCTGTGTGCGGGAAATACTTTTCAGTGAAGCCCAGTCTTCACACACATCAGAGATCTTACACGGAGGAGAAGTTGTATATCTGTTCGGAGTGCAGGAAATTTTTTTCAGAGAAGCCCTTTTCTTTATATATGACAGAGATCTCATACGGGGAAAAGCCATATTGAGTGAGAGCGGCAAAAGTACTGAGATTAATATATTGCATGGGAACTGAACTGTATGTATTGAACTATGTTGTTTAAACCGAGGAGGGGTTCACCCAGGGGGTCTTAGAGGAAAATCAGTAGGAGGACAATGTAAAACAGATAAAGACCTAGAGGAAGAGGACCTGGGTAGATGAGTTCGGGAGTGGGGGGGGGGGGGGGGTGAGAAAAAAAGAAAAGAACCGAGAGGGGGATACCCATGGAAGACAACAAATTTTGACATCAAATAAAAAATAGACCCTCCCCCCCCAAAACCAGAACTGCGGAAAATTAAAATAGTCCCTGACAGCATGAAAAACAAAGTATCAAAGGGAGGAGGGCCTAAGGCTTCCCAAACAGGGTCAATTAAAAAATATATACCCTCACAGGAGAAACAGACTCCAGAGAGACAACAGGGAATAAATGTAAGAGGTGAGGGAAAACGGTGGGGAATGTTCCAGACTATCCCAGGGAATAGCTAACAGTAGTCAACATATGGAAGAAGAAGTGGATATGGATAAAGTAGAAGAACAAGAGGAGAGCTCACAGATGCCTACTAAAGCAGAAATAGCAGAAATGTTTAAAGGACTCGAAAGAAGATCCCTAAAACAGGAACTGGCGAAATTACACAAAGACCTGGGGCAAATATTATCAAGGGTGAAGGAGACGGAAGAAAAACTAGATAAACATGCCCAAATTATACAGAAATTAGAAAAACGGGCGATGGAAATGAGAAAAGAACAAAGAAATCTGTTATATAAATTGGAAGACCAGGAGAATAGGGATAGAGATGCAATCTAAGGATACAAGGCTTTCCAGAGATCTCCCAAGGAGAAGATTTGACGGGAATAATAACGAGAATGCTGAATACTATAATGGATAGAACAATAACAGAGCCTCTCAAAATGGAGGGAGTATATAGAATAGGAAAAACACATACAAGAAGATTGAAAGGAGAAGCCAAGAGATGTAATAGTGCAATTCCATAATTTTTGGGATAAAGAAGAGCTTTGGAAGAAGATAAAAGGAAGAGCAATAATAAAATATGGAGAAATAAAATATACAGATCTTTGCTGATTTAGCAGCGGAAACATTAATAAGAAGGAGAACTTTGAAACCGTTATTGGAACTGATGAGAAAACAGAATGTTCGATATAGCTGGGGGTTTCCAGCGTATTTGATCGGATGGAGAAATGGATGTTCAGCAAGACTGAGATTCCCCGAAAATCTGAGAGACTTTTGTGAGAGACTTGATATACAGAAAATAAATATCCCTGGTTGGGAGGAAGAAGGAGAAATGTGGGCTATGGAAAATGAGGGGAGGCAGGTAACTCTAAGGAGAAATAGAGAGTAGAAATAGTAAAGAGGAATAAGATGGGAGGGAGGAGGGGGTTTCTCTCTTTTTTTTTTCCCCTCTCTCTCTCTCCATTTCTGCCTTTCTCTTATGATCTTTGAAGTTTACTAGAGTATGGCAGGACACGGAGGATGAGACATGCTTATTGGGGAAAAGTTCATGGTCAGAGCTTCACCTTAAAAGCTTAATCAAAGGTGGGGTTAGGACCACAAATGATTCATAGGCAAAATGTAAGCTCAAAGGGAGATGGGGGCGGCGGGGGGAGAGGAGTGGGAGCGAGGAGGGGTGGAGGAGGGTAGGTGGGTGGGAGGAGGAAGGTATGGGGAGGGGATAGGTAGTTTAAGACTCTGCGTAATAGTGGGAGAAACATCAGTCTAGAGAAATCCTAGAGATCAAAGGGGAAGATGTGGAGGAAAGAGGAAGAGAGAAGAGATGGGGAAGATAGAGGTGTGGAGAGGAGAAGAATGGAAGAGATTCACTTTGTGACTTATAATGTTAAAGGTTAAATAGCCCTGGGAAGAGATTTGGGGTTTTTAAAGAAATTCAACATAGATTTTCTTCAGTGGTTTTTTTACAGGAGACACATTTGGTGCAAAAATCAAATGTGAAATTAAATTCCAGATATTATCCAATGTGGTTTTATGCAGATTCCCCAATTAAACGTGTCAAGGGAGTGGCAATAGGTTTTGCGAAAAATATAAGGTTTAAGCTGGAAGACAGATTGTTAGATCCGGAAGGGAGATTTCTGTTTCTGAAGGGAAAATTACAGGAAATAGACTGTACATTAGCAAATATTTATTGCCCGAATAAGAAACCTGAGGTATTCCTAAAAAATATTCTGAGGAAGTTAATGGATTTCAAAAAAGGCAATTTAATTGTGGCAGGTGATTTCAATCTCTGCATGGATCCCCAGATGGATATGACGTCCCCTGTGCAGAGAGATGGTAGTAGGTCTCTGAAATCCTTGAAAAAAATGATATACCAATGTCAATGTAGATAAATGGAGAATTAAGCACATGAAGACAGACTATACATTTTATTTTCATGCACAAGAGATGTATTCAAGACTGGATTATACTGTATATTGCTGGACCATCGACTTATGGAGTCTCTGGTCAAAGTAAAAATAGAAGTGATGTCAATATCGTACCATGCCCCTGTCACAATGCAATTATTATGGGGAAATGAGCAGATCGGGGGGGGGGGAATTATGGAGGTTTAATGAGACACTTCTCCAGGATTCAGAGGTGGATCAAAGAATTAAAAAAGAAATAGAGCAATTTTTTGAGGAAAATTATTCTGGGGAAGTGTCTGTAGCAACAGTGTGGGAGGCTCATAAGGCCTATATTAGAGGAATCCTGATAGCGATTGGAGCAAAAAAGAAGAGGGAAAGAAGAGAAAAAATAAACACCCTTCTTAGTGAACTCTGTGAGTTAGAGCAGATACATAAACATAAAGTAGCAAAAGAGATTATGCAGAGGGTAATAAATAAAAGAGAAGAACTAAATACATTTCTGGAAGAAGATAAGAGAATGATAAGTGAGAGATACAGATGGGGAGATAGGCCAGGAAAGTATTTAATGAGGGCTCAGAGAAAAAAAAAATCTAGGAACTATATAGAGAAAATAAGAGACTACAAAAAGAATTAATGTACTCAACTAAAGATATAGCTAAAGTGTTTAACCGCTAGCTACCGGGCACTTATACCCCCTCCTGCCCAGGCCAATTTCCAGCTTTCAGCGCTGTCACACTTTGAATGACAATTGCGCGGTCATACAACACTGTACCCATATGAAATTTTTATCATTTTTTTGTGACAGATAGAGCTTTATTTTATTGGTATTTAATCACCTCAGGGTTTTTTTATTCTTTCTTAAACAAACCAAAAACCACAGAAAATTTTGGAAAAAAATTTTTTTTTTTCTTAGTTTTTGTTATAAAATGTTGTAAATAAGTGATTTTTCTCCTTTACTGATGTGTGCTAATGAGGCTGCAGTGGTGGGCACTGATAGGCTGCACTGATGGACACTGATAGGTGGCTCTGATGGGCACTGATGAGGAGGCACTGGTAGGTGGCACTGAAGGGTATTGACAGGCATCACTGATGGGCACTGAAAGGCAGCACTGATACATGGCACTGATTTAAGACACTGATAGGCAGCACTGACTGGCACTGATAGGCGGCACTGACTGGCACTGATAGGCGGCACTGACTGGCACTGATAGGCAGCACTGATAGGTGGCACTGATTGGCAGTGATAGGTGGCACTGATGGGTGACACTGAAAGGCAGCTCAGATGGGCACTGATATGTGGCATTGATGTGCACTGCTAGACACTGATATGTGGCATTGATGTGGCACTGATGGGCACTGGCACGAGGCACTGATGAGCACTGGCACAAGGCACTGATGGACACTGACAGGTGGCACTTCTGGGGCCACACTGATCATCAGTGCCCTGATGATCAGTGTACATGTCCCCTCCATGGAAAGCTGATTACCGGCTCTCCTCTCCTCTAGAGCTGTCAGCGTGACAGCTCGTGAGGAGAGAAATGCTGATAACCGGCATTTCCCTGTTTACATGTGATCAGCTGTGATTGGACACAGCTGATCACATGACCGAGCCGACATCTTCTGCTCTTTCCGTGATCGGTGATCTGCTGTGTCCGAGGGACACAGCGTACCGCCGTTCGCCACGCTGCGCGCTCCCTGAGCCGCGCATGCACGGTGAGAATGGGAGGACGTCATATGACGTCCTTCCAGAACAAGAGAACCACCTTGTGCCCGTCATTGGACTATATGGCGGGCGGGAGGTGGTTAAAGAATATTATATTAAGCTATATAATATTATCCCCCACAGCTCCATAAGTAAAGATGAAGTAGGAAAAATAGAAAAAAGACAGACATACTTAAAAAAGGCAGGATTACCAAGTGAGGAGCAATTAAAATCCCTAGAATCAGCTATAACGCAGGAGGAAATACACTTAGCATTAAAGAGCACTATAGCTGGGAAAAGTCCTGGACCTGATGGATACACAGTGAGATATTATAAAAAATATAAAGAATTATTAGTACCTAAACTGAGGATATATATGAATGCATTGGGATGAGAGATGGAAATGAGGAGGGAATCCCTACAAGCCATGTAGTTCTCATACATAAGGAAGGTAAAGATGATACTCACTGTTCAAGTTACAAACCGATTTCCTTATTAAACACAGATACCAAACTATATGCAAAAGTTCTGGCAACCAGGTTGAAAGCCCTAATGTCGGAATGGATACACATAGACCAAGTAGGCTTTGTCCCAGGGAGAGAGGGTAGAGATAACGGACTGAGATCTCTGTTTCTCATACAAAAAAGTAGGAAAGAGAAAATCCCTGCGGTGGTACTCTATCGATGCTGAAAAGGCATTTGATAGAGTAGACTGGGGATATATGTTGGATACATTGGAAGTACTGGGGATGGGACCTAGAATGAGAGAGTGGATAAGGAAGTTATATAGTCAACCCTCTGCAGCAATCATGGTTAATGGGGAATTGTCAGAGTATTTTGGGATGCAGAACGGAACTAGACAGGGATGCCCTTTGTCTCCATTGCTATATGTTTTATCATTGGAATCTCTTTTGGCTACAATAAGGAATAATATAGATATAAAAGGAATTTGAATAGGAGATACGGAGCATAAGGTGGCAGCTTATGCAGATGACATGCTGTTCTATGTGGGAAACCCAAGGATAACATTGCCAAATTTAATGAAATCACTGAAAGAATATGGGGAGATGACAAATTTAAAAATTAACCCAACAAAAACAGAAATTTTAACATAAATCTTCCAAATAGAGAGAAAAATAGGTTACAGGAGGAATTTCCCTTTGGAGAGAAAAAGAATTGAAATATCTAGGAATAAAATTAACTGTATCCTCCAAGAACTTGTATAAATTAAATTATATCCCATTGTTAAATGAGATCAGGGATGAACTAAGGAAATTAGGAGGGGGAACCCCGTCATGGATAGGTTGTATAAATTTGATAAAAATGGTGATTGTACCAAAAATATTATATACATTTCAAATGATACCAGTTAAACTACCAGAAGTATATTTCAATTAAAAAAATGTTGAGATTTGTTTGGAGGAATAAAAAACCGAGAATAAGCCAGGAAATTTTATGTAGAAATAAAGAGAAAGGAAGATTGGGAGTCCCAGATTTAAAAAGATATTATAACTCGGTAATAATGGCGTGAATTTTTGACCAGACATACTGTATAATGCAGAGGGGAAAAGCTGGGTTAAAATAGAAAATATACTAAGTAATACTAAATTAAGTGGAATTGTACAGTTACCTCCACAATACAGAGGATTAGCAGACAGTACAAGTTTGTTCACATTTAATGTTTTAAAAGTTTGAGATGTTTTACACAAACAGATGGGATGGGAATTTAAGTCATTGTTAATGCCCTTAAAGTCCAGAGAGTTTTTTCCCCCCGGGTAAAGAAGGTTTTACAGGGAAGCGGATTAAGAAGGAAGATGCACAATTAAGGGATATAATGGTGGGGGAGGAAATAGGATCACTTAAGGAATTGGAAAAAAAAAAGGAGAAGTTTTTACGAGAATGGATGAGTGGCGTTATTTTCAATTGAAACACTTTATAGGAAAGCTTCCAAAGCCTTTAAGAATAAGAGTATTGGAATCCTTTTGTGCACTAATTAGGTACACAGCGAGATGGGAAACACGGAACCTCTAAAAATATATAAGATTCTCACTGAAATAAACACAGATATAAGTCCTCCATATATACAAAAATGGGAAAGAGAAATAGGAGTAACAATAGATGCGGAAAAAACAGAGGAAAACGTATAGAATAATCCACGGAAATATAAATATGCAAGAGGTAGAAATTAATTATAAGTGTTTGGCAAGATGGTATATCACACCGAGTGTGGCACACAGATTGAGTGGAGATAATTCACCTTTATGTTGGCGTGGATGTGGAGGTAGAGGCACAATGTATCACATATGGTGGGAGTGTTCTAAAATGCAAGAGTATTGGGGGAAAATAGTAAGCTTGATTCAGAAAATGACAGAGGTTGATATTCTAGTAGACCCAGAGATTTGCCTTTTTCATAGTACTAAGCTTTCAGTTAAAAAATACAAAGAATCTGGTTTATTGTACTTTTTGAATGCAGCAAAGGGACTGATACCCAAGTATTGGAGGAGACAGGAGGTGCCGAAAATAAAAGACTGGGTGGATAGGGTGGATCAAATATGTAAATTGGAGGAACTTTATCATTTGAATGAAGATAAGATGGAGAGTCACCATACAAGATGGAACAAATGGGAGGAATTCAGAAAGTCAAGGCTAGCTTTAGAGGTTATGGGGGATTAACATAGAATAATATGGAAACATATTTTGTTCTTCTTTTATAGGCATTACGATCTCCAGAAATGAACAGGAAAATACAGAGCAGAAGGGGTCAGGAATTGGATGGGAGGGGGATTTGGGTGGTATATAGGTAGAGGGAGGGGGAAAGGGATGAAATGATAAATATTTTGATGATATGCTAAGGTTTTAATGAGTATATTTGTATAACTTGTTTATCTGAAAAATGAATAAATATATTTATAAAAAAAAAAAACAGAAGATTGCTTGACAATGGATCCCAGGAGGTGAATTGCAACATTCATTCAGTTACTTACAGTAGTTCTATGTAAAAATACATGAATACAAAATTGGATCAGATTACATCTTTTTATGTCTTCTTTGTCTTCAGCTTTATAGCAGAACTCCTGCTGTTTTCCTACCTTCACTGAACATGTCATCCATTTTCTGGTTCCTCTGAAATAGCCTATTCATCTTCAAATCAAACCATTAATTCTCTTTGGTTTCCTGTTTGTAAGACCTGTGGCTGCTATGCCTCCTACTCCCCCAGCCACTGGCCTTGGTACATCCCTTCTGTAGTTTTTTCTCCAGGAAGCAGTGCTGTAATTCAGCCCCATTTGCAGTGGTGGGCAGACCAGGACTCTCAGACAAATTCAGCATGTACAAGCCCAGTGTACCCACCCACATTCACTACAATTCCTTGTGGCTGATGGGAACTGTAGTTTCCTTTTGCTGCAGAGAGAGAGGAGAGGATATGATGTAATTCCTGCTGTTACACCTCTTCCTTGGCAGAGCAGATGCTGTTCTCTTTTGAATTACAGAGATGAGGTCATGAAAATTCAATTAGACTTTCCTCCTAGATGCTAACTTTCAAAATGTTATTAACGGCTTAGTGTTTTTTGTAGGGGGGTGTATGAATGGGTGATTTTTTTTGCATATCCTGGAGTTTCTTCTTTAAGAAATATAGTTTACTTACTTTTATGTAGAAATGCAATTTAACACATTTTCTAACCTGTCATTAGTCTTGTCAGTTCTGTCAATAGTCTTATGTTTCTTAGGTCAGCTCGGTTAGGATGCAGGGTGTCCTGTTGTTGGTGTTTGCCAAGTATTTTCACTTGCCCTTTCTGCGGGATGTACAGACTGACTGCACTAGAACTGGCCTTGGAGGTTATTGGGTAAGCACAACAACTATAGTAATGGACATTAAAGCTTTTGTATAAGAAAGTAGTAACATTACATCACTTGGTATTTGCATGCATTAGCTTAGCTTTAAAGATTAAACACACTTTATTCCAAGTATATACGATTTCCTCGTCTACAGATACCAATGTAATTACACAGTTACATTTTTTCAGAGGATGTACATACTATATGCTCATTGCTGTTGTTGTAAGATATATAAATCCCTGGCATTCTGTAAGCTGTTATCCGGTTACACATTAAACTCCTGGCCTTGTAAACTTTTCAGTTTCCTAGTGCAAACCTAACAGGATCAGCTTTAGCAGATAAAGAAAACCTGTTACCAACCTGGGCAATTTATACTGGGCATAAAAGAATACACAAGGCGAGCTTGGTGCCACTGTTTTCCACATCCCATCCTTCTCATTGTTCTTTTTATCAATGATCAATAACAGGTTATTAGAGGAAAAATGTAGTTATGCATATAACGTTTTGCTTCTGTCTCTTGATCAAACTGGTGGTTTTTGATAAAGACAGTCTTATGCTTATGCATTTATTTCATCATATGCTTAGTTTGCAATTGCCCAAGTTTGAGTAGGTTTACTTAGTGATATTAAACCCAAAATGAAAAATGTAACATTTTGCAGCTTGCCAGCCATTGGATGTGGTGGCTGCATCAGTTTTCTTTTTTAGTCTTTTCCCCCTCTGATTTCACCTGGTGATCTGGCCAGTAACATACCTCCTGTATTAGGGTGCCTCCAGTCTGGATGAAATAGCACAGGGGGCACAGCAGACATTGGTTAGGGAATGTTAGATTTAAATACACTAGTAAATTTAATACAAACTCTACCTAATACTTTATAAACAGTTACTGCAAACAGTTTTTTTTCCTTTTGGGATAAAGGTTTTACATGAATAAATAAGAACTGGCCATTGTAAGCTCCCCTGCTAGTGATAAATTGTTTATCTAATCTCTGTAACTGATACATTCTGCTGGAGAGCTTGTTCTTTTGAAAAACAGCAAACTTACTGGCCAGATCACAAGATGAAACCAGAAGAAAGAAAATCTAAAAAAATTAAACTAATGCAGGAATAATGTCTAAGAATTGGTAAGCTGCACTATAATACATGTTTGTTTTTGGGTTTAATACCACTTTAACATCACCACACACTTAACAATCGGATTGGGTAATCTTTGTTCAAGCTCCATGAGATTTAGAGGTTAATTTACTAAGGTCAAATAGAATGTCTACTTTGCTATGACATTTAACCCTAGCTTAGTAAATGAGGTGAAGCTCTGCTGACTTCCATTCAATCATTTGGAAGATTTTTTTTTTCCTTGCATGCGAATTGGTGTTCTTTTCAGAGTAAATTTACACCTCATATACAAAACTAGAGAAAAATTATCTTGTAAAGTAAACATCTTATTTGCTTTAATGCCTAGTACACACGATTAGATAATCGGACGACTTATCGTTCGCTTTTTCTTGTATGCTACTCTCTATCGAATTTAACATTGCCACTAAACGTATGATATTTCTCGTACAGTCTAGTAAAAACTTTGTGTGTAGCAATGTATGAGAAGTGATGTCATGAACGTGTGACCCCTGTGTCTGCCACACCTTTTGGCTATTTCCATTCGGATGTGTCGTGGCATATTCGGCTATTGCTCCACGCAAGTTCATTTGTTTTCATCACAGATTTTCGTTCACTGTCATTTTAAATGGAGAACTTGACAGAAGGAATGCAGGACCCAGCACTTCCAATTACCATCTTGGGAATATAGGCTATCACGAAAGTTCTTAAAAAGAAGAAGCAAAAAAGGAGGACATGGTGCAAGCAGTAGCTGCGTGATCGTCAGAAGTACTCTCATATGTCTCTTCTGAAAGAGTTGCAGGAGAACAACCCAGATGACTTTCGTAATTATCTACAGATGAATGATGACTGTTTCCAATACTTACTGCAAGCTGTAACACCGTTCATCAGCAAAAAAGACACACCACTGCGGGAATCTATAAATCCTGAACAAAGGCTAATCGTCTGGCAACAGGGAGAAGCCTTCAAGACCTTAAATTTTCAACAGGCATTTCCCCACAAGCACTTAGACAAATAAAACCGGATACATGCAAGGCTGTCATTGAGGTATTAAAGGAAGAATATATTAAGGTAGAGTACTTAGTAAAATGTATTGTTACCATAAAGCACTATGTCAATCCCTTTTTGTGGTCCTAATAGCCTGTTTCTTTTCTTTTAGTTTCCCAGCAATCCACAGGAGTGGAAGGAAGTTGGCAACAATTTCCAACAACATTGGAACTTCCCTAATTGTGGTGGAGCCGTTGATGGCAATCATATACGTATTGCACCATCTCCAAAATCAGGCTCCTTCTATTACAATTATAAAGGCTTTTTAGCATTGTAATGTTTGCCATAGTGGATGCAAACTATAGGTTCCTATATTTAGATATTGGGAAGAATGGGTGGAACTCGGATTGAAGTATCATAGAACAAACAGAATTCTACAAGCACCTCAAGAATGGGACCCTCAACTTACCATCCTCTGATGAAACCTTTGAAGGAAAGAACTTTGTCTTTGTTGCATCTGCTCTCAGTGAACATGCCATGAAACCATTCCCCATGAGAAATCTCACAAGACACCAGGAGATCTTTAATTACAGGTTGTCCTGTATAAGTGGCATATTGGGCGGCTGCCATTTTGGTGTAGCCGCCCAATCAAAACATCTGTGACCCTATATATATAGCCCGGAAATGGTGGTATGTCTCTTCCTGAAGACGCTGCCAGGTGACATGTATGCAGAAGCGTGATCCTTTCACTTCTGGGTCCTACATGACGTCATGTCCTGCTCGCTTACACAAGGCTTGGAACGCATGCCGGAAAAAAACCATGTTGTTTCAACATTGGCTGTACAGACTGATGCCGGGGTACAGGCACTATACAATGTGAGTGTGAACCATGGTTCCTAATAAATATTACATTTAGAACACATTTCATGGATATTCATTTCTTATTATAAGTTCCTCTGAGAGCTACTACTGAGAGAAGGGGAACCTGTAGACCCACCGCATGAGAGCGTACAGTTGGGAATCTACTTGTCATTTGATCATCTTAGTGATATTTGACCATCCAGTATGGGGGTCAACACCTTCTGGTGAGTGGGAAATTAATTTATTACTCACAAGTGGTGGAGAAGAATCTACTGGATCGTTGTGACACCCTCCTATAAGACTCTCATCCATTCACATTTTCTGGACTTTTATCATATCCTATATAAGATACACTGTTAAATGTGGTGTTGGGCAAGCACTATATATATAATTATATTTCAGCTTTCATGTTTTATGACACATGTATATGTTGAAATCATATTGAGCAAGCGCCTGTCTATTTATGGTTTTGGAATTTAGAGTGTGTATTCACTTAATAGGGACAGCTGCCACAACTGCCTTTTGGCAGAACTTGTAGCTTCATCATAGTACAATAACCCATACCAGGTTTCACAGGAGCCACAATATTGTTTTCTTGATTTATGTCCCGTGCACGCAGGGTTATGGAAAATGCCTTAGTTTCCGACTGTTTCTGTCAACCATCAGTCTTGCGTTGTACAAGATCGACTCAATTGCACTTTGATGTTGTGTCCTTCACAACTATCTCCAGAGAAATGCTCAGGGGTACATGACATTAGTGCCCTTTGAAAGAGACACAGATACTCAAGCATCAATTCCTGGGAGTATTTTTCATGGAGAGGATCGCATGGAGGTACTCACTACCCTAAACAGTGGACATCCCAGGCTTCCCACACGAAACGCCCGGCAATGCAGACTGGATTATATGGAATATTTTGTTGGCATGGGATCAGTACCCTGGCAGGATGTCATTTAAAGATCACTTGACTGAATTCCCCCAAAAATATGTTCAACTACTATTGTCAGGCATTTTACTGTTTAGTGTTTAATAAATGATTGCGATGTGTTTTTGCACTAAAATTGTCTTCACCAAATTTGTTGATTCCTAGCTGTTTAGTTCTGTTGTGAGCGGAAAGTATGCAGGAAATGGGCAGAAAAGCAAAGATTGCAAAATACTAAACAAAAGACTATGCAAATTCAAATATACTATCTTGAAGACATGAATAAGAAGCTGGCCCCTTTAATTACATACTTTGATTGTAGTATGCCAAAAAACTATTAGGCTACCCATAGCTGGCTTTCAATGCACTCCAGTAATCACAATGTGTTTCCAAAAAAATTTGGGATGCCCCCTCCCAGAAAAAAAAAAAAGTTGCACATGTTATGATCACAAAAGAGTTTTATGAAGCACATAAGAATTGTAAACCAGGCATAAGATTTACTGCACAGAAAATTTGTAGAAGGCAAAAAATAAACTTTCAAAATACTGAAGTTCTTCTCAATTGCTCAACATGTTACACATTTTGGTTCTTCCAGTTATTTAACCAAAGTCTTGTTAGAAATATATGTCAGAATTGTGCATTTGAATTATTCCGGAAATTTACAGCATCCTTTTAGACACACATGAGAAATTCCTCAAAATATGGACCCCATGGATGAAGTTTGCCCATCCTGCTATGTTAACAGCCATTTATACTACGCTATAAACACTGAAAGCCAGGTCCCAGGCTCTTGTACCTTCGATGTCCTCTTCTCTCTTCTCCTTTCCTTCTTTTCTTCTTAATTGATAGGTTCCTCTGTAGGGACAATTTACGATTTGTTCATATGCATTTTGTGTTGTTTCTTGTATAATGCATTTTATACATTAATGTCTTAATTTACCAACACCTGATTCTTCAATGAGGGCGTATGGCTCTTTGTTGTTCGATGTAATATGGTCAAAGACCATTTTGACACACCATAAGCTATGTTTTGTTTACAATTTTTGTATATGATGTACAACCGCTTTAGATTGTAAACTATTATATTGAAATATGTCAGCGGTTACAACGTATATCTGAAACTTTTTTCAATAAAAATTTATTGAAAGGAAATTATTCAGGAAAGTTTCAGAAACAGCAATATGTACACTATTGTACACCTTAAGGTAATGACATCCCAAAATAATATGATAATTTGTTTCAGTTAAATTGAAGAGTCATTTGTTATATACAAGAAAACATGAAATATCAGAGATTGTCAAAATTGGAATTACTAACATGCATCAATTTTTATTAAGTTTAACTAACATTATATAATAAATACAATAATACCACTTTCATGAAAAATGTAGATAAATATATAACTACTGTAATATTATCAGTCAGTTGGTTGGTGGGAAACATTTTGATAGCCTGAAAATGATTTGATTGTCGTATGTTGCAGCATTGTCGCGGGTAATAAACATTGTTTACGATCCTCTATTTTCTTCTGGGTTATTTATGTGTTTCCAATCATGCGTTTTCTTGGTCTCATGATTTTTCATGGACGTCTACTGTACTGGTTAAATGACAGTCGTTCGCTCTGCTATCATCCAAGAAATTTTTTTGTGTTTGTCCCTTCAGATATTGTTGGATGAAAGCTGTGTACTAATAATCAGATTATCATACGATCGCTACGAAAATTATTATTATCATCCGATTATCTGATTGTGTGTATGGGCCATAAGGAACTCAGCCTCTTAATCTCATGGAGCTTGCATAATGGAGCAACCCCTTAAGTTGGGTACACACTGAGACTGGCTTCTGTAGAACAGAAAGCTGTACACACAGGCAGAAAGTTGGCCGGTTCCTGTTGAACTGACAGATTTTGGCCAATTTTCGGCCCATGTGTACAAAGCTTTAGTGTAAGTGCCCACTCATACAATCCATTAAATCTTTACCCAATCAAGCAGGCTACTGCACTACCTGTATCTTGGTAAACCTAAAGGAGATTATACAAACAGGTTGTAGAATGTGTTTTGCTTTAGTTCATTTAAGAAGTGTGAAACCTTGAAATCCATTACCAACTAATGTAGAGGTGCTGTATTTTATGTAGCAGACTGCGTGTAATTTGAGCTTTCGCTGCAGTACCTGAGAGAGGAAATGACCCAGCTGGCAGTTCTAGAATATTACAGATGGCTGCATTTCAAATGAGAAAAGTAACTTTGATAGCATTACAGTTCAGAATGAATTACATAGCAGTTCTAAAAGCCGTATACATTTCTAAAAAAAAAATGAGTTGCACTGTGGGGGTTGATTTACTAAAGGCAGATAGGCTATTCAATTTGCAAATGTTGTAGTTTGCAAAAATAAAAAAAAACCTGTATTTTTTCTGGCATATGATTGGATGATGGAAGTCAGCACAGCCTCTCACATTTACTAAGCTAAGCTTATTTGCCTTTAATAAACCATCCTCTTTTATTCATAATTAGTCATAGTTTGTTAATACTTTGGACCCAGCACTGTTATATTTATAGCCAGATTCTTTGTTTCTTTTTTAGGGTAACAAAGGTGGAGTCAGCACTCGATTGTCCTTGTTTGGTCACATGGTGTGTTTCCTGAACTGCCATTTGCCAGCTCACATGGAGAACTCAGATCAACGTGTGGATAATTTTGAGAGCATCCTTCAGCTTCAGCAGTTCCAGGGGCCCCTGGCTAATGGTGTGCTGGACCATGAGTATGTTCCTTCTCCAAGACATACAGATCAACACATCACATTTACTCTTCAGGATAATAATTTCACATTTCACTATTGTTCAGTAAGAGATTTATAAAGTGGAAACTAGATAGAGAGCTAGAATTTCATCATACATTATGATTTTTTTTGTGTAAAACTCCTATGATGTTAATTTATGTATATATATATATATATATATATATATATATATATATATATATATATCCTCTAGACACAAACGCCAGTAGCCAGCTAACACTAATAAGTGCTTCACGCTTTAAAAATCAATTTTATGTGCTTCACTGTTATGCCTTATTACCATACAAAATGAACAGAACTAAGTGCTGGGATCCAGAGTCCTGCTGCTCACACATTTTATATGTCCTACACATTAAAACAATGGGGTTTATTTACTAAAGCTGGAAACTGCAAAATCAGGCTCACTTCTGCATAGAAACCAATCAGCCTCTAACCTCAGCTTGTTCTATTAAGCTTCGGCAATAAAACCTGGAGGGTGATTGGTTTCTATGCAGAAACGGGCCTGATTATGCACTCTTCAGCTTTAGTAAATAAACCCCTATATCTTTAACTACTTCTGCGCCACCCTATAGCAGAAATACTGCTACAGGGCGGCACGGGTGCGCAAAACCACCTATATATACCCTACCCACGCGGCCATTCCCGATCTTGGCTGTCAATCACCGGATCCTGGCTGGTGATTCCCCGCCAGCACCTGGCAATCTCTGAGGATTTCCGACAGGGTAGAGACCTGTATGTAAACAATACAGATCTCTCTCCTGTCAGCTCCTGCACACTGCTTTGTATGGCTCTGCATAGCAGAGGCATACAAAGCAGTGTGCTTACAGTGAAAAACACACACAGCCCACATAGAAAACAGCACACAGTTAATCCTTTGATCACCCCACATGTTAACCCCTTCCTGCCCAGTGCCATTAGTACAGTGTCAGTGATTTTTATTAGCACTGATCACTGTATTGGTGTCAGTGTCATTGGGGATGTCAGTTCCTCCCAGTGTCAGAATGCCCGCCGCAGTCCCCGCTATAAATCGCTGAACACCACCATTACTAGTAAAAAAACAAATTCCAGTATGTATGCCATAATTTGTAAATGCTATAACTTTCACGTAAACCAATTAGTTTACATGTATGGGATTTTTTTAGCAAAGACATGTAGCAGAATACAATTTTGGCCTAAATTTATTGCGAAATTTGATTTTTTAAATTTTTTTTAGCAAAAAGTCAAAAATATAGTTTTTTTTTTCAAAATTGTCAGTCTTTTTTTGTTTATAGCGTAAAAAATGCACAGGCGATCAAATACCACCAAAAGAAAGCTCTATTTGTGGGAAAAAAGGATGTAAATTTAATTTGGGTGCAGTGTTGCATGACCACGCAATTGTCAGTTAAAGTAATGCAGCGCCGTATCGCAAAAAATGGCCTGGTCAAGAAGGGGGTTAAATCCTCTGGAGGGCAAGTAGTTAAGGAAAAATTTTACTTTTGCCACTCACCTTTTCTCTAATTCTTGCAGTCCTTTTAGGACTGTTCTGGGATCACAAGTGCCTGGACAGTTACTATTTCCTCCTATATCTTCTTGAAATCATCTGCAGATACTGGGCTCTCTGCACACAAGGCTGTATAAATGAATTCATTACCAGCATCTCTTTAAATGTGCATGGTCGCTGAAGTTGCTCACAGTTTGCTGACATACATGAGCAGGGAGCATGCATATTTAAAGGGATGTTGGAGATTCTTTCTATCCCACTGGAAAACAGTGGAGGATTCTTTCATCAGGATATTTATTTGTGTAAATCTCTTCAGATACTTTTCTGTGCATTTGATATACTGTGTATATGTATATATATATATATATATATATATATATATATATATATATATATATACACACACACACGCACTCTATATTTGGAGCTATAGTATTGCAGTGTGAAAATTATTATTTTGGGGCTGTTTGCTTTAAATCAGCCAGATGAGAGAAGCAACATAATGGTTCATTTTCATTTCTATCACAAAGGTCGAAGGTGCTCTTATTATATAATCTATACAGTTTGGTTAAGGTGTCTGATTTGCATTTACATATTGGAGCTTGTATATATAACATTATGTAATGGCACCTGCTCTGTACAACATTTTATCATCTCCATATATCTTTTATATAAATCAGTTTGATGTAACGTTTCATAGTGCTTTATGCTATTATTTCTTCAGAATTCAAAGTGTTACTTGACATAGAAGCATATCCATCACATAGTTTGAAATGCTATTTTTGCAGAGAAGATGGTCTTGTTTTCACATGCAAATCAGCAGACTTAGAGCAGGTTAGGGAAATGAGCTAAGTAGAGTGGAAAGAACACTGACTCAGTGTCATAAATCTATTCAAAGGTATTCAAATACTCACATATACTCAAATACTTGCATATACGCTCTGGACGGAGAGGGACAAACTGATCTGTTGATATTAATGTCAGACAGCTATATGCACAGCTGAAAAAGAATATCTGGAAAAAAATTTAACCTACTAAAATGTTTGTAATTGTGATCAGCTATTGTCTTGATTCACACGACTTACCACACTGCTTAACCAGAATGGTGACCCCACAGTTCACCTCACCTTCCCTTCTCACCTGCCAAATTGGAGTATGAAAATTGTTAATGGTATTTACAAAGCATTAGCAGCTATTTAGAGTGAACCTATCCGGTTCTAAAACATTTGTAAGTTAACAACAGTGCTGATGCAGTGTGTGAGTTTTTTAGAGACTGACCCATGTATCCTGCTGGCCTCTTAGATCTTTGGATCCACATATGATTTCAACTGTGGTCAAGTCAAGACAAAACTGTGCCTCTTCCAGTATTATTATTATTATACAGGATTTATATAGCGCCAACAGTTTGCGCAGCACTTTACAGTATAAGGCAGGCAGTACAATTACAATACATTTCAATACAGAAGGAATGTGAGGGCCCTGCTCGTGGAGCTTACAATCTAAAGGAAGGGGGAAATGATACAAAAGGTGATAGCTGCTGGGGATGATTCAAGTACAGTTCTCAGGTGGAGCTGGGGTAGGCTTCCCTGAAGAAGTGCGTTTTCAAAGATCGCCTAATGCCAGACAGGGTGGGGGCTGACCGGACATGCTGTGGTAGGGAGTACCAGAGGATGGGAGAGGCTCTGGAGAAGTCCTGGAGGCGAGCGTGGGAGTAGGTGATGAGGGAGCTAGAGAGGAAGATATCATGGGAGGAGCGGAGTGGGCGATTTGGCCGATATCTGTGGATGAGGTCGGTGATGTAGCTAGGGGCAGTGCTGTGGATGGCTTTGTAAGCTGTGGTTAGTATTTTGAATTTTATACGTTGGGTTAGTGGAAGCCAGTGAAGGGATTGGCAGAGAGGGGCAGCAGTCGCTGATCGGTTGGTAAGGTATATGAGTCTAGCAGCAGCATTCATAATAGACTGAAGGGGGGATAGCCTGTGTAATGATAGACCAGTGAGGAGGGAGTTGCAGTAATCGAGGCGTGATATAACCAAGGCGTGAATAAGTTGTTTTGTGGTGTCATTGGTCAGGAAGGGGCGGATTTTGGAAATGTTCCGGAGGTTGAGGCGGCAGGATTTAGCCAGTGAGTGGATGTGGGGCTCAAAGGAGAGGTCAGAGTCTAGGATTACGCCTAGCACCCTGGCATGAGGGGAAGGACCAATGGTTGTGCTGTTGATCTTAATGGTAAAGTCGTGAGTAGGGGATCACGGAGGAGGAAATATTACAAGCTCAGTTTTTGAAAGATTGAGTTTGAGGTAGTGATGTGACATCCATGCTGATATGTTGCTTAGTAGATTTGTGATACGTGAGGAGATTGAGGGGGTGAGCTGGGGAGTGGAGAGATAGATTTGGGTGTCATCAGCATAGAGGTGGTATTGGAAGCCATGGGAGGTTTTCAGTTGGCCCAGGGAGGAGGTATAGAGAGAGAAAAGGAGGGGTCCAAGAACAGAACCTTGGGGTACCCCAACAGAAAGGGGAAGAGTAGCGGAGGAGGAGAAGTTGTATGTGACACTGAAAGTGCGCTGAGAAAGGTAAGAGGAGAACCAGGAGAGAGCAGAGTCACGGAGGCCGATGGAGTGGAGTTTACTGAGGAGGAGCAGGTGGTCGACTGTGTCAAAGGCAGCAGAAAGGTCAATTAGTATGAGTATGGAGTAGTGGCCATTGGTTTTAGCAGTTAGTAGGTCATTAGTGAGTTTTAGTAGGGCAGTTTCTGTGGAATGTTGTGGGCGGAAGCCAGACTGTCGGGGATCAAGAAGGTTGTTGTTGGTGAGGTAGCAGCTCATACGGTTGTGAACAAGGCGTTCGAGAAGCTTGGAGGCAAACAGGAGCAGGGAGATGGGTCTTAAGTTATTCAAACAGGTGGGGTCCAGTGAGGGTTTTTTGAGAATGGGGGTAACCAGTGCATGTTTGAGAGGGGAGGGAAAGGTGCCCATGGAGAGTGAGAGGTTGAAGATGTGGGTTAGAGAGTTTAGGATAGAGCAGGAAGGAGGCTGCAACAGTCGTGAGGGGACAGGATCCAGAAGACAGGTGGTGAAAGTGGGCCTTGGAAAGGAGATCGGTAACTTCCATGGAGGTAACAGGGTCGAAGGAGGAGAGTGTTGAGTTTGGTATTGGGCCTGGTATGTTGGTTAGAGGAGGAAGCTTGACACTGGAGATCTCATCACGAATTGTGTCGATCTTCTTGAAGTGACTGGCAATCTCCTGTGCAGTAAGTAAGTTGGTGGGTGTGGAGGCAGTGGGGGGTGGAGTAAGGAATTAAGGGTAGAGAAGAGTTGACGAGGATTGGATGAGAGGGTCTTGATGAGAGTGTTATAGTAGGTTTGCTTAGCAGCGTGGAGGCTGGAGTTGCATTTAAGAAGACCGGATTTGTAGAGGGTAAAGTCTTTCAGGGATTTTTTTTTACGCCATGCTCGCTCAAGAGTGCGGCTGCATCTCTTAAGACTTCTGGTGACATCTGTTTGCCAGGGTTGAGACAGACGAGGCCTGGTTCTGCGTGTAGAAAGAACAGCAAAAGCGTCCAGGCAGGGTGATAGATAGTTGTTGTAGGCAGATGTGGCCAGCTCTGGGCAGGACAGGGGTGCAATTTCATCATAGAGGCGCTCAGTAGCGGAGTGAAGAAGGTCAGGGCTGAGGTGATGGAGATTTCTACAGGTGACGGTTTGCAGGTTAGAGGCATGGGGGGTAGGAGGCAGGGAGAGTGTGAAGCTGATAAAGTTGTGGTCAGAGACAGGAAAAGGGGTGTTAGAGAGGTTACAGGGAGTGCATAGGTGGGTGAATACAAGGTCAAGGATGTTGCCATTGCAGTGGGTGTTGGATTGTGACCACTGTGTTAGGTTAAAAGAGGAAGTTAGGTTGAGTAGTTGAGAGGTGGCAGAGGTGTGAACATTGACTGGGATGTTAAAGTCACCGAGGATGATGGCAGGCACCTCAGAGGAGAGAAAGTACGGTAGCTATGCTGAAAAGTCATCGAGAAAGCATGAAATAAGGGACAGGCTGGCATTCCTTGCGCAAAGTACGCATTACGGCGTTAAGTATCTGGCTATTAAACCCTACCTGTGACATTCAAATGCCAGAGCCTCTATTGCCTCTTTAAACCTACCACACAAGTTACAATTTGATTGCACAATCTATCACCTTTAGATCTACCAAACACTATGCCTGATTGGATACAAATTGATTGATTAGATTAGGGAGGTGCTCATATTACACCGTTTTGGTAAATCCAAAGTTGATTGTACAAAGATTGTATGGCCAGATTGTAACTTGGTATGTATGGTGACCCCTGTATTCTTGCATTTAACAATTCAGTGAACAGGATTGGGGCTAGGGTTGATCTTGGCTCAGTGCAGACCCCATGTACAGCTTGTGGCCTAGGATACAGGGCAGCAACAAAGGGACACAGGGACTGATTTGTAAACAACATATTTAAGAGGTGTCTGTCTTTCAGCTTCATTTTTACCTTAGACATTTTAGGCCAGATTATTTTCATTCATTTCATGCATTATTTTAATTTTAATTTACGTTTACATGGTGAATAGTATATTATGCTTTTGCATTGGCACATATGTAGTGCCTTTTGTTTCTGTCCATTGGATTGTTCCTTCTAATATTAATGTAGATCGGTATTTATTTTCAGTTTAATCTTCTGGTTTGGGGACCTGAATTTTCGAGTTGATGATCTGGACTTGCATTTTGTAAAGTCTGCCATTCAAGGCAACAAGCTGTCTCTGCTCTGGGGAAAAGGATCAGGTGAGATGGCATGTGGACACGTAAATACTGTACTAAATGGTATTCAAGCAAGAGTGAATCTACTGCCAAGAAAGCATTTGTAGCAGATAAAGCTGAACTCTATGCCAAATGCTAAATATACAGATAAAATAAATATACTGTATTACCCTTAGTTCCCACTAGTGCAGTTTTGTGGGCCACGGCATGGCAGCCCATTCATTTAAATGGACTGCCGTGCCTCGCAAAACGCAGGGAAAAGGTTCCTGCACCCTTCCAGATATTGCAGCCTGCCTGCAGGTCCTGCGTTTTGTGGGCAGGTGGTTGCAGCTGCGGGATGAAGTGCAGGTCCCGAAGCAGCTTCCACCCGCACTAGTGTGAACCAAGCCTCAGAACTGGTTTTCCTGCTAAAGGATTTGTCATTCTGTTCAGTCAGTCTTATGATCCAGGCACCGCTGTCAGACTAAATTGCAGCTGAACGATAGAAGGGGGTCCAGGAACTAATGCAGTCTTTTTTTTCTGTCTTTGTCCACATTGATTAGATTTTCTATCACTTTCTATCCCGCTGTTGACACCAGGACAAGAAATAAGAGGGCATAGATGTCACTGGTAAAAGAAGACAGCTAGAATAATTCAAACCTGACAGCAGTAAAAACCCAACAGGAGTTCTAATCCTTCCCAACTTAAAAAAAACTTTGGATGAACATACACTTTAATCGTTTTGCAATGGGGCCCATCAAACATAGTTACAGCTCTGACAGTACTTGTTCAAAAAACATAGCCTACTCATTTGTATGGCACATACAGTATATACTATATATGAGTTTGTGTGTGTGTGTCTGAAACCTGGATAATATACATTTATTATTATTTACATTTAATATAAATTTATTAAACTATGTTTCTCAAAGGATAAGTTCATCGTTTAACAAAAAATAATAAATGCACATTTTTTTGCAGGAAAAAAGATGTACGTTTATTATTTTCTGTTTATGGATCCTCTAAGGCATTGCACCAGCAATCAGCAGATTGCTGGTGCCATGCAAGTATCTCCCTGAACAGTCAGTTTATCTGTTTGCCCGTACATCCCATATGAGCAAGGAGATACTACTGACAGGAAGGCTCAGTGAACTACCATGGCACTGTGGAGCACCATGGTAGTTCATTGAAAACTACAAGCCAACAGCCAAAGGCTGCCAGGACTTGTAGTTTTTCCATTCACAGGATGCTGTGAATGAATGATGCAACCGGGTGGGCATAGCCCCGCATGGCCACATGTTTTTTTAAATTGTGACAGCTAGCAAGGGGGATGCAGGGGCCGGTGAGACCGTAACATGTTACATGTTACACCCTGAATATGGGTGTAACATGTACAAAAGGTGAACTTATCCTTTAACAATATACTAGGATCATTAACCACTTCCTGTCTATGTGCTATATACTATATATACAGCCTCAGGAGCACGTGGATGCAGCTGTCTCACCAAGGAACTTGGGATCACTTTAGGCAATCAAGCCAGCTTCCCACAAAGGAGATGGAGGAATATACATTCCTCCATCTCATCTGTGACAAATAAAGCTGGGAGCAATGAAGATTTCATCACTTCCAGTTTTGGTGCTGTGTCTCCTTGGCCTGTACAGCCAGGAAAGCAGCGGATCAAACAGATTTCTGAGAGAAAGGATCATGGGTCTAATACACCCCCAGATCTCTCCTTAAAGAGTACCTGTCACTGCCAAAGCAATCACAAGGGGTTGTGTTTCATCTCTTGTGACAGCAAGAATGTTCCAATTTTTTTTTTTAAAGTGTAAAATAAAATTAATTAAAAAAAATAAAATGTAAAGCACCCCCATCCCCATGTGCAAATGTTAATGTGCACATAGATCCCACACACATGTAAACAGTGATTGCACCACATATGTGAGGTATTGCCGCACTTCTCAGTGTGAGAGCTCACATTTCACTCTAAACTTGTAACCTGTGGGTCACAGGAGTGCACTTAGTTCTTCACTCCTATGACTCATACTGTGACATCACTGAGCCGGTCCAAACTCTGGAGGGATCCTGACTTTAATTTTAGGATCCACCCAGATGACTGACCAGCAGTTGGTTCAGCCTCTCAGCGTGCCGCCGTGAGACTGAGCCAGTCACTCCTACCCCCTCCACAGCCCTGCGTTCCTGACTGAATGAGAGAGCCTGACTGACAGTCATTGCTCTCTGAAGACCGAGAACCAAGCAATAAGTGGTTCAGTGATTGCGCTGTTCTCAGTCTTAGAGACGATGGGGGAAAGCTGTAGCATCGAATTGATGCTGCATCCATCTAGGTGGTTTTTTTTTTTTTGCATTCTCATACTTCTCTTTTAAGTATCGTAGTTTTGTCGCTATTTCACAGGCTTGCACAATTTTAAATATTGACATGCTTGATATCGGTTTACTCAAAGCAACATCATCTTTTATATTTTAGGAAAAATTGGGTATTATATTGTGTACACTACAATTCATTTTAGGTGTATTTTTTTCTGAAAATTTGCATCTGATAATCGGCTCCGCCAACATCATGTGACATAAAAAAATCTGCAACAGCCACAATTCTATTCTCCAGGGCCTCTGCTTTCGGTAAAAAATATAATGTTTGGGGATTCTAAATAATTTTTCTAGCAAATAAAACAAAATGCTGATTTTAACATGCATGTGAAAAATGACAGCAAGTGGTTAATATTTGATTTACTGCTTATTTTCTTTCCAGCTAAACATGGCTAAATGCTATGAGCCCGTGCTCTCAGGATTTATGGAAGGGCCTCTGACCTTCCCTCCCACCTACAAATATGATGTGGGGACCAATACATATGACACTAGGTAAGATGGTGGTGTTAGAGACATGTTAATGTATCCTAATCATATCAATCTTTAAGTACTCTTCTTCTTGTTTGTATATTTCCTCCTCAGCTCTAAAAAGAGGAAGCCTGCATGGACTGATCGCATCTTATGGAAAATGAAAAATCCTCTCTCCCAGAATGCTTCAGGGAAGGCAGACATGAGCAGCTCAATGTCTTCAGAACTTTCCATGACGCTTCTCAGCTATGGGTGCCATATGCATTATACAGAGAGTGACCACAAGCCAGTGTCTGCTATTTTCTCTTTGAAGGTTCATTTTGTTTTACAAGACTTTCTAAATAATGGCTGGCTTCCATGTAGGAGTGTATAATATTTCTACTTTGTCAGTGACTGTGTAGAAAGCTAGTGCTGGGAATAGAAACCATTTATTCTACCTACTGATCTATTAACCATTCTTCATTATTATCAGTAGAATATAGCCAAGTGACATCCAGTAGAACGTCTGGAGCAAACAGTTTAGGTTCTTTGACCACTTGCCCTCCTGAGGATTTACCCCCCTTCCTGACCAGGCCTCTTTTTGCTACTCAGCGCTGCACTAATTCAACTGATAATTGCGCGGTCATGCAATGCTGCACTCAAATGAAATTTACGTCCTTTTTTTCACACAAATAGAGCTTTCTTTCGGTGGTATTTGATCACCTGTGCGCTTTTTATTTTTCGTGCTATAAACAAAAAAAGACCAAAACTTTTGAAGAAAAACGATATTTTTTACTTTCAGCTATAAAAAATATATAGTAAACTCAAAGTTAATTATAAATTTAGGCCAAAATGTATTCTGCTACATGTTTTTGGTAAAAAAAATCCCAATAAGTGTATATTGATTGCTTTGTGTGAAAGTTATAACGTCTACAAACTATGGTATAGATACTGCAATTTACGCCATTGTTTTGCTATACAGCGCTGCGCTAGTTTAACGAACAATTGCGCGGTCATGCAATACGGTACATAAATTAAATTTACATCCTTTTTTCCCACAAATTGAGCTTTCTTTCGGTGGTATGTGATCGCCTGTGCGTTTTTTATTTTTTGCGCTATAAAAAAAAAGGCTGACAATTTTGAGAAAAAAAAATATTTTGGACTTTTTGCTATAAAACATGTCCAGTAAAATAAATTTAAAAATCAAGTTTAATCATAAATTTCTGCCAAAATGTATTCTGCGACATGTCTTTGCTTTAAAAAAATCCCAATACGTGTAAATTAATTGGTTTCCGTGAAAGTTATAGCGTCTACAAATGGCGGGAAAGATACTGGGATTTTTTTTTTTTATACTAATAATGGCGGTGATCCGCAACTTATGGTGGTGATCAGCGATTTATGACAGTGATCAGCGACTTATGGCGGGACTGCGGCGGACATTTTGACACTGGGGGGGAACTGACTTGGGGTCACTGACATCCCCAGTGACACCAATACAGTGATCAGTGCAAAAAAAAAACACTGACACTGTACTAATGGCACTGGGGAGGAAGGGGTTAACTTTTATTAGGTAATGAAAGGGTTAACTGTGTGAGGGGAATGTTTTACTAGGGGGGGGGGTGTGTACTTCACAGGAACAGGCTGATCCCCAGAGATAAAGTCTTCTCTCAGGTTCAGTGTGCTCTGAACTGACAGATGGCAGAGCTGAAATGTAAACACTGCAGCTGTGCTATCTGTCAGTGATTACTTGTAATCGCCAGCACCTGGCGGGAAACGACCCGCCGGGAGCCGGTGATGGACACCCGCTGCCGTGATCGACAGGACGGGTAGGGCGGGCACGCGCCTCGCGAGCGCCCCCTACCTGTTTTGCAGTGACGTTAAAAGACGGCGCTGTGCGTACAGGGGCCGCCCTGCCGCAGTAAAAACAGTGCGGCGAGTCGGCAAGCGGTTAATTACCTTTAGTTTATTTTGGATGTCTTGCCCAAAGAAATGGAAGTAGTATGAACAGCAGATCTGAAAACAGTATATACCAGGAGTCTCCAAACTTTCTAAACAAAGGACCAGTTTTATTGTCCTTCAAACTTTAGGAGGGGACCGGACAGTGGCCAGCAGGAGTGGATATTTTACTGGTATCAGTGGCAGTAAACATCGCCATATTCAGTATTAGGGGAGAGTATTAGTGCCCCATCACTGGTGTCATTGGGAAGAATACTGTCCCATTACTGGTGTCATTGGGGAAATGGTGACCTATTTTGTTGGTATCAGTTGGCAGAATAGTGTGTCTTATCAGTGTAAGGAATAGTGCCCAAAGGCCCGGATAAAGGCAAGCAAAGGGCCACATCCGGCCCCAGGGCCGCAGTTTGTAGATCACTGGTATATACATTAACAAAGTTGTATCCAGTTAACTGTCAAACTACAAAATATTGCAAATATATGGGGAGTGAGGTTGTGTATGTAGAAATATCAGCGACTATTAAAGCAACTGAGTTAATCAGGAGTTTATGATAGAGTGGTAAGTGACATTAAAGCAGAACTAAACCTAATGATTTAAAGTGGAAATGAATTCAGTGATATAAAAAGCGGAAACTAAACCATCCTATCGTTTTCAGCCAAAGAAGCTGCCATCTTACGCTCTGTTTGATCTGCAACTACCATGGTGCTGCACATGTGATCAGTTATGACACCAGCCACTTGATGGTTTGACAGTTTAGTTGAGGGCACAAGCCAATGTGACAGTTACATTTCCAGCACGTTGGGAATGTAACAGTTTTTTTAAACTGTTAAATTGAGGGGTTTAGTTCCACTTTAACAGTTTCAGAAACAGTTACATTCCAAGCATGCCAAGAATGTAACTGCCACAGTTGCTTGAACTCTCAATCAAACTGTCAAATCATCATATGGCTGGTGTCATAACTGATCACAAGTGCAGCACTATGGCAGTTGCAGATCAAACAGAGGCTAAGATGGCAGCTTCCATGGCTGAAAAGGATAGGAGGGTTTAGTTCCACTTTAAATCTCTTTTAAATTGCCTTTTATATCAATAGATCATATGTTGAATTTGACAGCTGTAATTATGTTGTTTCACAAAAGACGCTAGAGAAACTTGAATCAGTTATTACTCTATAACATGTTTGTATTTATTTTCAGTTTTCTACTTCTCTCGTTGCCCCACTGGTACATATCTGGGTACGTGATGAATGGCTACAGCCTGCAGATGCCCATGTGACTTATCGGTGGTCTCCTGTATACATGAAGAGTTCCTGGGACTGGATTGGACTATATAAGGTAAGAAATGCGGAAGTGTTGATACTGTCACAAGTTCTTTATCTCCATTGCTATACTTCTTGATGTGTTATCTGTAGGTTGGATTCCGACATCATAAAGATTACGTGTCCTATGTGTGGGTGAAGACTGACGATGACAACGATGGAGGAAGACACCAGTACCAGGTTCTAAGATTATGTTTTCATAAAGCTGAGCTTTGGATAAGATACACATGCATTATGTGTGGCATAGGTGCATATCTTTATATCTGTTGTATCCTAGGTAATGTTCAGTGAAGAATCTCTTCCCAAAGGCACCGGTGAATATCTGCTTGGTTATTACAGCAACAATATGAGCACTTTAATTGGGGTTACTGAGCCCTTTCAGGTATGTACCTACCCTTCATACTAGAAAGTACAGTAAATTTTCAATGAGCTCATATTTTGAGGTATTATTTCAATGTTAGCCTTAAAGAGACCCTTTCACCTTTTCCTTGCAAAACAAAGTAATGGTGACACTGCAAAGGGCATTTCCTGACCCCCTAACTATTCGTTCACACATGTGGCTATTATTGCTGCCTCTCAGAAAAGGGGTGACTTTTCAGAGGAGGTTTGACAGGCAGTAAGGAGGCAAAGTGTTGCCTCCTTAGTGCCTGTTTTATATCTAAAAATGCTGACATGCATACATTGTACGTGGTTTCAGGGAGGTTGTGGCACCATCCCATTCACTTGAAAGTGGTACCAAGCACCCAATGTGACACACTAATAAAGTGATTGTAAATGCTTGTTTTTTTTTAAATAACACTAAGGTTTATACTTACAGTATTTGCTCTGTGCAATACAATTGCACAGAGTGGCCCCAGACCTCCACTTCTGGGGTTCCCCGCCGGTGTTTCTGGCTCCTTCCCTCTGCTGAGTGCCCCCATAGAAAGCTGCTTTTCATGCTGGCATTTGTGCAGGCTTGCTCCTGAGCCTTGCTGTATGCATCTATTGACACAGACAGTGCAGCTCGTTCCTGCCTCCCGCGCCCTCATCACTGGCTTTTATTGACAGCAACAGGAGCCAATGGCTTCATCTACCTCATCAAAGCCAGAGAGACCAGAAAGTGAGGGGAAAGAAGAGCTGCAGACATGCACAGTGTTGGATCTAATGAGGGCTCAGATAAGTAAAAGGTGGGTGAGGGGAAATACTGATGTCTAAACATTTTTTACTGTAATGCAAGGAATGCATAAAGGTAAAAAATATTTAGGCTTTATAACCACTTTCATTTTTCCCACAGCATGTGTACAGCCCTGAGCAGGCTGCATTTCTGTGTTTTAGTTGGGCGGATGGGAGTTTTAAAACTGCAGCCTCACCACCTGCTTTTGCCTCCCATGTAGAAGAGCCCTGAGGCTGGTTTCACACTGATGCGGTGCGGAATTCGCAGCGTTTTCTGTGCGAATTCCGCACCGCATCAGAATTGCACAGTGTTCATGCGAACCGCTGCGGGTGTGTATGTTAACAACACCCGAAATCGGTCCCCAAAACTTGGTGCGATGTGCAGAATCGTATTGCATAGGTGTGAATACCCATGCGATCCGATTCTGGTGCAGACCCAAAAAAGCATCCTGCACCTTTTTGGTGCGGTGCGATTGGAGCCATACATAATGTATGGCTCCAGTTGCACCGCACACAAATCATGTATGATTTGCACAGGAATGCAGTACGGCTCCTGTGTGAATCAATGTGCCGCACCGCATTAGTGTCAACCTAGCCTCCTACTCACTTTACCACCTTACTTCCCTTGCAGTTTCTTGTTATCCTGCAGCTGGTGCTGAAATCGGCTGTGTCGGTGACCAAGGAGAGCGATGTCGTCCCAGCCTGTACATGTGACAGATCTCAGGTCTAGTGATTGGCTGTAGGCTAAGTCAACATTATCAGCAGGTCACATGCTCCTCTATACTTGGAAGTACCAGGTATTCTGGCTGGATGTGGAGGAGCAAGGAGCTGCAAGGTAGTGCAGGTAAGGTGAGTATAAGTGGCTAGATCAGGGGATGCCCATTGCAGATTTTTGTACCCTGCATGGGCGAGGTGAGATTGTATCTTCAAAGTAATTATGATATGGCTTTCATATTTTACATTCATGTTCTTTTTTGCTTTTGTTACAGTACTAAATGTAGACATTTGTAGGTTAGGCACAAGATGCATGGACATTTTTTTGTGCCGTGGTATAAATGGGATTCTCTTGCACTGGTAAAGCCTTGTGTATTTGTTTTTCTCACTCTCTTTCCAGATCTGTCTGCCAGGTGCTGAAGTAAGCTCATCCTGTGACAGCTCTGACTCCAGTTCAGAAGATGATAATAGCACTCATGTCCTACTCCGACTAAAATCCCGAAGCCCCAGCCCAGCCAGTGCTCGTTCCCCACGGAGCAGAAGTCCAGCTCTTACACGTCTGCATGACCTTATTATTCCTGGTTCCTCTAGACAGAAGAGCCGCAGTCCGTCTCCACGTAGAGCTAAGAGTCCCAAACAAGAGCGGTCACAAAGGTCTAGGTCTAGGGATCCGACCCGGGAATCCCTAGGTAATAAAATCCACAGTCCTTATGTGCCACTTTCTGCTGCTGTGCCCACCGTGAGACCAGAAGCTGTGGGACAAGGCTTCAGTGCACAAGGGACAATGCCAGTCTCTCCTGTAGGGAATCCCAGCTGGCCAGCTGCTGCTGCTCCACAGCCCAAAGACTCACACAGTCAAACTCAGAGCCAACAGAAAGCAAAGTAGAGATCTATGCACTAGGTTATCTGACCGTTAGACAGCAAAGCAGAAATATGTTTAGAACATATTATAGTATATGTGATGTCACTATATTTAAAATCCAAGCTGTGATAATGTCCTAGAATTTTCAAAGTCACCAGTAGGTGTCAGTATAGGTATCTGCAAAATAAAAGAGTAGCATGACTGTGGCCTGAACACAAGAGATCTAATAGATTCCTCTATCCACACTAAGGGCTCATGTACACAGGGCGTTTGGAGAACACTTCTGAACGCTGGAAATTGACAGCAGGAAAATGCAGGTTAAACAACGTCCGTTTTGCCGCGTTTGCATACCGCGTTTATGCGCATTTGCGTTTAGAAGCATATTTTAAAGATAAGCAAAGGAGAACCTCCCAAATGCCCAGAATGCACTGAAAAGTGGTAAATTATTAACTATTTCAGACTGTTTCAGAGAGATACAGAGGGCAGAAGCAGAAACAGCAGTATGTGAGATAATTAGGTGTGAGAGTTCAATAACATTTCTTTTGTTTCCAAAGGTAGGAAAGGTGTCTGGTGGAGGGAGTCATTAAGGTCATCTGGCAGGGGGTCTTCATGAGGAATTTGAGGTGTGAATGGTCATTAACATTTCTTTTGTTTCCAAGGGTGGGAAAGGTGTCTGGTGGAGTGAGTCATTAAGGTCACCTGGCAGGGGGTCTTCATGAGGAATTTGAGGTGTGAATGGTCATTACCATTTCTTTTGTTTCCAAGGGTGGGATAGGTGTCTGGTGGAGTGAGTCATTAAGGTCACCTGGCAGGGGGTCTTCATGAGGAATTTGAGGTGTGAATGGTCATTAACATATCTTTTGTTTCCAAGGGTGGGAAAGGTGTCTGGTGGAGTGAGTCATTAAGGTCACCTGGCAGGGGGTCTTCATGAGGAATTTGAGGTGTGAATGGTCATTACCATTTCGTTTCCAAGGGTGGGAAAGGTGTCTGGTGGAGTGAGTCATTAAGGTCACCTGGCAGGGGGTCTTCATGAGGAATTTGAGGTGTGAATGGTCATTACCATTTCTTTTGTTTCCAAGGGTGGGATAGGTGTCTGGTGGAGTGAGTCATTAAGGTCACCTGGCAGGGGGTCTTCATGAGGAATTTGAGGTGTGAATGGTCATTAACATATCTTTTGTTTCCAAGGGTGGTAAAGGTGTCTGGTGGAGTGAGTCATTAAGGTCACCTTGCAGGGGGTCTTCATGAGGAGTTTGAGGTGTGAATGGTCATTAACATTTCTTTTGTTTCCAAGGGTGGGAAAGGTGCCTGGTGGAGTGAGTCATTAAGGTCATCTGGCAGGGGGTCTTCATCAGGAATTTGAGGTTTGAATGGTCTTTAACATATCTTTTGTTTCCAAGGGTGGGAGAGGTCTGAGGTGTGAATTGGTCATTACAATGTGTGACAAGCTTGGTAGGAACATCCTGTGTTCAGTGTTTTGTCCATCTGAGTACCTTGAAAATGCTCTGCATGCATTTTTCATGATGAAAAAAGGATCTGGACAGCATCAGGAACTGGAAGAGTTAAAAAAAAATTGGCATACACTTATAAACGCAATTTGCCGTGTTTAGCCTCGTTTACAAGCGTTTGCATTTGAAATTTTGATAAAATCGACATCTGAATGCAAGTTTGTTGCGTTCAAAAAAACGACTGTAAACTCAACTGCCTGTAAACGATCGTAAATGAAGATGTGTACATGGACACATAGGAAAACATTAGGGAGAGTTCAGGGGCTGCTGAGAAAATTGCTGAACAGCTCCTAAACGTGAGTTTATCAGCTGCAGTGTACATGAGCCCGTAACAATGTGAATGGACAAATCTTTCCTGCCAGCTATTGCATTCTGTCAGCTGGCTACAGCAGCTTTCAGAATACCCCAGCCACTGGATCTGATTGGATGCAGATGCTGTTTGGCCAACAATATTCCTCCCACCTCCTTCAGTTGAGTGTTGTGGACAGGAGCACCCATGGCCCAAGTTTCATCTGATTATGCATAAACTGGAAACATTTGAGCCGTGTATGGGCAGCCTGTAGAGGGGACAAACTTGGTGATTTTTTTATTCTTATATTTGACACAAGAAGCTAAGATAGAGCTAAATCTTACATTTCAAGGGGGGGGGGGGGGGTACTATATAACATAAGCATTAAATGGAGTTGCACTGAAAGTGGGTTTATAACTGGATAATAAATTCTATGAATTCAATTGAGAAATGTAAATGAAATATTCTATGATTAATGGTATATTGTAGCTCGTTTTTTGGCCATTGTGCATCTGGATATAATATGTGACATTTCAATATCAATTACGACATAGCTTACAGCTTCACTTTAGGCAGGACCCAAATCACACTGAAACTTCAATTAAATGTTTAGTCAAAGTATTTAAAGCTCCATCATTACCACTCTTTATTTACTAAATTATTTGCTAAATTAAACAAATTGGCATAGTGTTGGATTGTGTGAAGACGATTTATTTTTATGTCAGGAATGTTTTGGTGGTTGTATGCATATTACACCACCAGGAAAGAGAATGCTTGCTTTTTTTGTTCTCAAATGTGTTTTGCACTAAATGTTTTGTTATATTGTGTCATGCAGAAGAATGGATAAAATAGTTTTCTTGTGACTGGATATCCTGGCCTTCATGTAAACAAACAGTAGAACTAAATTAATTTTCATCAGGAAAATACTGAATTATGGCCACTAGATGGAGCTGATGATCATAGTAAATAAATAGGTATTTGCTATGGTTGCTATCGCCATCTAGTGGCCAAATGAATAACATTCAACCTGCAGTGAAAACAGCCTAATAACATTCGATTTTGCACACAGTCACACTGAATGAATGTACCTGCAGGATAGGTAGCTCCAGGGGTGGACTGACCATTTGGACACTCGGGCACTGCCCGAGGGCCCGGGGTCAGTAGGGGGCCCCATGAGATGCCCCTGGTACCTTTCATAGGCTTTTTTGGGTGTGGTTTGAGTGTGGGTGAGGACACAGGGGCCCCATGATCCCCTATTGCTCGAGGGCCCCATGAGTTGTCAGTCCGCCCCTGGGTAGCTCTTTTTAGAAAATCGTACAAAGTTTTCGAAGAGAGTAATGAACATTAATTCATTGCATACATTTATGCTTTGTTTTTTTTTTTTTACTTTTCTGCCCTATAGAATTTAGAGATACATATGGCATCAAGTCAGTATTGCTGAAACAAAATATTTCCATTTATAAATATGACTATATACTTCAGTATGTATTTATTGGTACAACTTATATACATGTATTTATTTATAGAGCTTATATACAAAGAGAGCCTATCATACATATTTACATAAAATTATTATATTTTACCACTACAAATAAAGTACTGTTTCCATATATACATTTACACTTTTTTGGTTCACTAGCAACATTTTTCCAGGTGACCTGTCCTTCTAAACATTCACGATCTGTGCTTTATTGCTGAAGTCTCTTCTATAATGTGTCTATCCCAAAACTGCCTCCACTTCCATAATTCGTAAAGTCTGATATACTGTAAACATGCCTACACTTCTTCATACATCTAGGCTTACAAGTGAATACTGCATTGACATATTTCTAAAGTTTTGCTTTCTCTTTGAGATAAAACAGTACTGTAATATATGAGTATAGAAAGGGTCTGTGTTATCCAGGTAACCATTGGGATTCTTCCTTTTATGTTCTAACCTGAACTAAAAGAGTTACAGCTTGACTCTGTTTGCTGTGGGTAGCACAGACATGGGTTCCATACAAACTTTTCATACTCAGTTTTTAGAAGAAGAGAAAATGGGAATTAAATAAATCATGTATGACAGATTTCCAGTGGTAGGTCCCTTTAGAACTTTCTGCACCTAATTCTTGCAAGCATTTGCATCTGTTTCAGTACAACTGGATTACCTGTATATGGAGGGTTTTTTATATATTTTTTTTTTTGTTGGTTGAACTAGACGGACTTGTGTTTTTTTTTTCAACCTGACAATCTACGTGACTGTGTAATACTGACATATTCAATAAATTCAGGCACTTTGTACTTCCATCACTTTAAGAACCTGTCACTATGGCAGCAACAGATTTCTACTACTGCCAGTTCATAGATTGTGAAACTGGCTGTAGTTAAGACCAACTTTCTAAGGCCTGGTTTACACTAGAGTTTGGGGGGCAGTAAAATGACATGGTTGAGTTGTGGCTTTACCACCTCCCATCCGCTCCCCCTTTAACTGTAAAGGCAGCATAGCGGTGTGTACATATGTGCAGCAGAAATTATACGCTAAGCATGATCCAGTCAACTGAATGGGGGTGCCTGTGAACGTGTTGAAGCGCACTGCTGTTGGGTTCAAGGGGTTAAAGCAGGCAGTGATGAGGAGATAGAATACCTCCTCACCGTTTGTTAATTTTCTCTGAAGAGTGATCCAAATGTGAATTGCTTTTCAGAGTACAATACCAGTGTAAACTAGCCCTAAGACTAATGCCAGTGCTCAGAGTGGGGCATGTATGTGCTGCAAAGCTGTCATAAGTGTAACAACTTTCTGTACAGCGCTCTATCCCTGGCTCTATTCAACTTGAAGATGAGAAATTCCCCAGCCCGAAGCTGGATGTAAACATGAGGACCTGGGATTCTAGTGATGTCATTACCCAAAAATAGTAATGCCCATATTTGGGAAATATTGAGTCACAAGGGATTGACCGTGGATGGCAGTGAGCAGATCTGAAAGCCGCTATTGGATTGAATAGTGGCTATGGATTTGTTCACTGGTATGCATTGTTATTTAAAAGTAAGGTGGACCTGATGGGGAATTAGTCTCTCTGTTCCCCATTATGCTTCACCTACTCCACTACAAAACTCCTTGGCCATATTCCGGTCAGTATTACAGGTGCAGTGGCCAGTGAGGGAACACACCGAGGAAGAGGTGTCCAGTGTGGGCATTCTGATATCAGTGCTGGCCTCCAACCCATTCCTGTGCCTGTATCTGACTGGTATATGAATCTGGCACAAGCACAGACAATTCTATGATACTGTTTAATCATTTCCCCCATTACAGTGATACTGAATTAAAAAAAAAAAGAGTAGCTTAACTTAAACTGAATGTAGAAAGGTGAGTGTAGTGTATACATATCATGTATCTCCATGACCTGTGCCTGCATCTTCTGCATGGGTGTTGGCCAAGCTGTAGAGGTCCATATCTGACAACTGACCATTGAAGCTGTAGAGGTGGAATGGAACTTAGGGATATTTAGGGTTAATACTGTGCACTCGGCACTCGTCTGCCAAATTTCTGCACTGCTATGTCATCGCTATGAAACAGCAGTTGCCTTACCATTAAAGTCTGTGCAGAGTGAGCACAGCATGGTGTCAGTGGTGTGCGCGACAGGAGTGTGGAGTGCACATCTATCCATTCTTCTTATTGAATTGTGTTTAATGCCTAACTGAACCCATGTTTTTTATTACTGTGATCAAGGCAGGTGACCTAAAAATGTCACCTGATTCCAGCTCTCCAATCAATAACACTCTGAATCCTTGAGTTCAGTGGAGTACAAAAGTAGGCATCAGATTGCTGGAGATCCATACCGTATGAGAGCATTGGTTTGGATCTGATGTGTGCTGCCAGCACAGGGGGCAGCTTGGTCTGCATCTCTAGAACAATAAAAAAAGACAGGTCTGATATATGCTTTACATGTTAGACAGCCTGACTTGAATCCCTGTAATACAATTGTGGGCTTACAGTATTACTAAACCCAGAACCCTGCATTCACTATATCTGGTCTCCCACAGTACACACAACATGGAAATGCAATTATCTTAGTAAATATAAACTTATAAATACCTTTTCTTATCAGCTGTATATAGCAGTCTTGTGACTTCTATCAGTGTCCAGCCCAGCACTAGGTAAAAAAAGAGCAATACACACCAAACTGAGCATGTGCAAAATGCCTACAGTTCAGTCTGTCTTAGCAAGAGATAAGAAGTGGTCGCTTAAACAAGGGGAGGAACAGAGCAATCAGGATCAAATGGCCTTCTTACACAATGCAGAAGATTAACCCCTTAGGTTCCACAGTGAGTATAACAAGCATGCTTTACTGCATATACAGACTGATTTTACTGTTGTGGGTTTAGTAACATGTTAACTGGGCTTTAAAGAGAAAATATTTGGAAACATTTCCTAACCAAAGTCATTATATGACAGTTGACATCAAGATTCTGGAACATGCCCACTATTTTTATGAGGCCATGGGGTTGATGTATTGAGGGTAAAGAGGCTGTTTACTTGGTAAGGGAAGTTGTACTTTGCAGGAGAATTAGCCCCAGAGCTTAGTGCATGCGGTGATATGTAACTTTTGAAAGAATACCCAATCACATGCTAGGAAAATTTAAAAAAGCATTTTTGCTTGATTGGATGTTGAATGTCAGCAGAACTTCACCTCATTCTCTAAGTTCTGGGGAAAATCCCCTTTGCATAGTGCAACTTCCCTTTAAAAGTGAATCGCTCATATGCCTTTCAGTCAGAAAAAAAACATATTGTTTATAGCACCACGGTCATTCATCAGCACATTTATCTTTCCTGGCTTCTGGTTGTTTCTTCTGTCAGTGAGTTCAATTGTGTCTTAATAAACGGTATCTTTGAACCTAAGAAGGTGCTATTTTGTGCCTTAGTTGTCCTTCTGTGCCTCTCTCTAGTCCATTGTCTTCTCTTTCGGAAACTATGTTTGTCAGATTGATGAGAAAAGAGCGATCGTTTCATTTCAGTTTCCTCGGAATTCCTTCTGCCATCCAATGTGATTCCTCCACGGCTTATTACAGATTCCTTTGTCTGTGCCCTCTGTAGTTTCTTCAGCAGTTTTCTCTTACTTTTAACAGTGTTCATAGATGATAATGAGAGCAAGGAAGCTTTAGGTTTGCCTTTATGTGAAGGAGAACCATGTGGAGGTCTAACCCTCTGAGGGAAGGGAGTAGGAGTCTGCTTGTCTTCAGCGTTACTGTAGTTGAACACTGTGGGAGCGTGAAGTTCGGCTTTTGGTGATGAGCCATTTCTTTTACAGCTAGAAATGAAAATACAAATTGTGATGTGATGTAATGTACTGTGCCATGGTATTACACAAGAGTGTATGACGCACACTTACCCTCCCCACCAGTGCCATTCCACACATTGCTCTGTCTCTCTCAGGGTGAAGCATGGCATTTCTAAGATGTTGAAGAACATGATGCCTACCAGAGTGGACATTGTGTCATTGACCTTAAGTAGGCACTGTCTGAACCTACAAAGGAAAGGAATAAATCATAAAGGGAAAATTGTCATGTGTTATATGTCAATTTGAATAACAAACATATATATTCAGTGAAAAAAAACAATGGAAAACATCAGATTAAAATCCTCAAGAAAAAATAACTGATCCACCACATAGGCTTCATGCACATAGGCCTCCTATGTTTGATGCAAGAGAAATTGGTCTGTTAAAGCAGGGCTTGAACTTTCCACTTGCCTGCTCGCCAATGGCGAGTGGAAAGTATGGTGGGGGCGAGTGTGTCCCCCAGGGCCGTCTTGCTGAGCAGGCTCGGAGCACAGGCCGCATCTGTCATTGGCACTGGGAGCCGTCAGACTGCTCAATAGCTGAGCACAGTGAAAGTCACGGAAGGAGTGTGTGCTGTGCTCTCTGCCTCCCCCTAGAGTGCAGTACCTGGATCTGTGAGTGAACTATGAAGTGCTGCAACTTTTTATGGGGGGGGGGGGGTGTACGTGAACATGTGTTTGTCTGTGTCTGCATGTACAATTGTACATGTGTGTATGTACATGTGTGTATCTGTACGTTTCTGCGTATATGTACATGTATGTGTTTGTGTACATGTGTCTGTGTGTGTGTACGTGTGTCTGTGTGTGCATGTACATGTGTCTGTGTATGTATGTACATGTGTCTGTGCATGTGTATTTCT